GTCGTTGAAATAGGACTCAAAAGCGCGGGCACGTTTGCCCCTGAATGAGATTAGAAAGATTCATAGAGTACGGTAAGCGACTATTCAAGCGACTATAGGAAGCAGAAAGGAAAATTAAGAATTACCGGTACCTTCCTATGCTAAAGAAGGTTTACCTTCCCTAGCTGGCCTAGAATTAAGCAGAGAAATGGTAAGAGCTCCCCACGAAAAATTATCCCATCCGTCATGTCAGTATCGTTGTATATAAAGGCTTTAGTGTATGAAATGTTTCCCACGAATATTCGTCAGCCTGGAAGTTCCAAATCGAGGCTTATCATCCGATGAAAATTCTTTTGAGGTTTGTAATAGCTAACACTTCCCATGCTATTAGACGTTATGATCTATTGGAGTGAGTGGTCGTCTCACTCTTGAGGTCCACGGAGGATATACACTCGTCGGGAACATATGACGACAAGGGGCCTGCTACTTTACGGACCTGTCGACATGGTCCTTGAAATAAGTATCCTCAAATGCCAAAGTTGAGCGGACTTCATCAATAACATCCTCTAGCTCCAACAGGACTCTGCGGTCCCTGTAATCGTGATTCAGCAGCTATGTTGATAAGACATGAGATGGGATGGATGGTGTGGATAGAGGGAGTTAGGAAATTTAAATTTAGCACCATAAGCGCCTTTTATCTCACTAGCTCTATTTCTATGAAGCATATATATAACCACGAAAGAAATGATGATCTAGAGAGTAATGTGGGGAAGAATGTCTATGGAAGTATGGATCACATGACATTGATTTCTCAATCAACACTAACCTCATCAAGTCCATCTACACTTGTTCAACACAACTCCAAGCAGCAACAGAAGCTCTAAAAAACTGGTAGCTTAGAGCAACCATTTTTCTTTAAAATTATGTCATTGACAAACGTCTACCATGTGCGTCGAGTCGCGGATACCTCTGCAAAAGCGTGTTTGATTTGTTACAAACCATCAACCAGTGTGATGATCACACCGGACAACAAGGTATGAAATCCGCTCTCAAACCTTTAATTTGGTGTACACTATTGTTTCTTCACTTAATATCCCATTTTTATACATGCGAAGTGGCTAATTCACCTAGGACTTCTTCTACGTCTGCCCCGCACATTTGCAAGACAAGAATTTCTGCTCTCCAATCGTCGACACAGAAGGCCAAGCAAAGCGCCTCAAGGAAGAGGAAATGGCCAAGGAGATCGAAAAAATAAAGAAAGAATATGAAGAAAAACAACGACGCAAGAAAGAGCGTGAGAAGGCCTCTAACAAGGATAATAAAGAGGAAAAAGACAAGGGCAAAGATAAGCCCAAAGATGAAGATAAAGCTGCATCTGATTCAAATGCAAAAGATGAAAAAGACAGAGATGATAAGGTTCGTGTCTTTCCGCAGCAAAGGAAATCAAGCATATACTTCATATGAACGTGTTTGCTGATTCTCCCTGCCAGATCGCTTCTATCCAGAAAGGCTCTGGGACAGAGACAAAGTCAGATGATTCGCCTCGAATCTTCTCCTTGCACAAGTATGTGGTGATATCGTGCTCATGATAGTAACTCTAACGGCGAAACAGGAATTTCTATCAGATGCGCATCGACCGGCTGCGCAGCATTGAAATGACGAAACGCAACCAGGAAAGATTAAGGCAACCTTCACTGTTTCCGTCTGTACCGTCGGGAAATCCTTAGATACATTCGCTCATATACTTGGGGAGTCAGTATGGGTAGTTCGAGATACAAACGCTAGATTGGTTCGCCCATCATCCTTTGCTGATCTGGCAGGCACAGTGAAGATCTATGCGAGGGGAAGGTGATACAAAACAAAGGCATGTCTGGCTATTAATTTAATATCTATGACTTTGCGCAGCATTTTTGATACTCCCATTAGTCACTGATTATCGAACCATTTTACTCTGTTTTGACAGGGTTGCGGAAAAGAACAGACGCAACCGTACTGAAATATCATAGGAGTTTTATTTCCACATCTATACATCTTCTATTCCTTAGGACTTAACACAATTATCCGCGTGTCATATAGTCCTCTGGCAAAAAGAAAGCTCAAAGTCATAGACGTGGTATTGGCCCCGGCACGGGGCAGACACATACAGCCCTAGAACTCATACAATGGGCCTCCATTTACAAACGGAATTCTGATCCTGCAGGATGCCGATTGCAGTAGTGAAACCTCCAAGCTGGTGACCCGCTCATTCTTAGCACGCATTTTTCTACGAGGCGTCCAACGAGACTACGTTTTTTAAATGAATATCCAGCCACTCTGGGGAAATGCATATGCCAGATCGGACATTGAATTTCTATTTCCTGCCATAAATGGCTCGGTGTCACGATGCTCTTTCCGTATTGCATGACCTGGAGGTGTGGGTACAATAAGCACTAGTCAACTAGAGTGGTCCACAAACCCATCATAGGAACTGCATCAGCCCTAGTGGGCAGCGTACTCGGTTTGTTCCTGTGCGTTTCGATAGAACCATTATTTGTATATATGCTGCGGCCTTAAGTTCGTATACGTGATGTTGGAATGAACTCTTCGTGTCTGTAGACTGCCATGGTACATATACCGATATTTGTACTCTCGCCTCCGCGTCGAGACTTGCTCCAACTCACTCTTTGTAGTCTAGAGCTCAGCTGTGCACTCGCACCTACTAGTTCGAACTGTCGTCTCTATAATTGTTACGTTTCTCGCCTTAGCTACTAATTAATAATTACATGCTAGTTATGCCGTCGTTTGTGTTAATGTACTATGCCATCTCAATGCGAGTCCTTATACGGAGTACATAGCCCGCAACATAGACAACTATACCCACAACACTTCAAGACCGAGACAGACGCGTGAGATTCAACTCCATTTAATAATACAGCTGCCTGGAAAGGACAATATAGAATTATTGAAGAAGCGTGTCTCAAATTGGCCGATTGAATGCTGCCTGGCAGGATGAATAGTGCTTTACTAGACCACGCGGCCAACTAAACTAGCGCCATTCATCTAGGAGGCTTATAGAAAGTGCTGAGATAAAATGACCAACTTAGGTAGACACGATTATACCTCGTATACCTCGTATATATTACTCCATAGTATATTGACCGACACTCTTACTCATGTGAGTATAGTAGTTAGTAGTTAAATGGTATAGAAGTGCTTTATTTAGCTAAAGTACCCGGCAGCCTATAATTAACTAGTTATCCAGTAGCCGACTAATTCAAGATGTCGATGAGACACTAGGCTTTTCAATCAATAGATGCGCAGATATCATACAACGAAGTAAGACTGTTGTAGTCATAGTTACTGTTTTGAACGGCAAGCTCTTATAATATAGATTATCCAGATATAAATAAGCCACTATACTCCTATCATCCATTAATCCCAGACAGACCTGAAACAAAGTTAAATGCCAGCGCTAAAACCGCATCTATTGATAAACTATGTAACAATGATGCGAGTCTTGGAAATGGTATCTGTGCATTTAATAAGCCAAGCCAGACCGGATGGGAACTCCACTCCACCGGGAGCTCCCCCTGCAAGGCAATGTGCACTGCCCACCCCCACAGGGAAAGGGTTGCCAATCACGGTATAGATTTGGCAAGTATGTGCCGTCTAGTTAGCCTGTAGTGCGTAGGGGCACCAATGAGAGGTGGCAGACTAATTAGATCTACGATTAGCAAGAACTACACGACTAATGTATGCTATTAGCGATGTACATAGTAGTAAAACCCCCAATTAGAAGACAATATAAGGTCTTCGTTGAAAGATACAAGATACAATAACCAATACATACCAGACAGATACCCGTAATACCAATACACATACCGACAACCAATCGGGAAACCCAGGAAACAGACCCGCTTTGCACAGCCTCCTTCTGCTTCAAACCTTGGAAGTCGAAGGGGGGGGAAATGAATCGGTCAATCCCAGCGTCATTGGCGTTACGCTGATCCTTAAAACATTCCTCAAACTGACAGCGCTTCGGTGAGTGGGGCCACTTTAGGAAGAAACATCGAAGTAAAGAAACTCTGGAGCGAAAAAGAGGAAGAAGAAGATAAGTGGAGTATGCGTTTGCGTGGATCTACCCTTTTGTGGGCTTGGTGAGAAACTCAGGGTTGTGCTTGGCGCGCGATTAACTACCATTTTTGTCTTGGCTGGGCGTGGCTCGACTCGCCGGGAATAATAAACACGAGTCGAGACTTTGGCACGTTGGTATGCGGCGCAGCCCTAGGGTAGGTTGGGTAAGCCGGTCCCGACTTCAATTGGTTACCATGTACGATTCGAAATAGGGCTTTGGGTCTGTCTCATATCGCCGATGCTGTATTACTCTCTATCTTTGAGTTTGTGCAAGATGCAGGTTTTGATTTGTGGGACATGGCTCCTAACCAACGGGGGTGGTGAATACGGATCAGAGATGGATGGCTAGGTACATGGGCTAGGTACATGGTGGCTTGAGGCGGACATGGCTCGTATGTTTGGGATGGATTGATATCATAAGTGCTGTACAGATCAGCAGGGGCATGTCCGCTGGCGTGCCACCTAATTCTTGCTTTGTAGATCGCTGGATGGAGCACGGAGGGATCTCTTGTCGGATTCAGCGGCTTGTCTAGAAAGGTCGCAGTGTGCTCGAGCCTCACTATGCCATTGTCGCTGCCTGTGAGTAGAATGGAATGAGACCAGGCAGTCATGTTCTTATCGCCAGCGACAATGTTCACTCTCCACGTGGGTAGGAGGTGTTCCCAAAGAGTAGGTGCCTCAATTATGACCCAGCTGGCAAGAAATGATGGCTTCCAAGGGTCCCTCAGGTCCGAGCTCAGATGTACCACATGTCACTGACGACAAGGCGCGTGAGCGCCCATGGTTGGCACACGATCATCTAGAACCGGAAAAAACCCATAAATGAACCATAAACAAATGTAAGTTGGAGCTGTAAGCTTTCATAACTCGTAAAACTATGTATGCATGTATGGTGTTCATCATTCATCTCAAAGATTGCCACGCCCAGAGTCATTAGCTGGCAGGGCCCGCATTCCCGGAGGAAGACGGATGGCAGGGTTAGCGCGAGCCATGTTGACCTGGTATGCGATATCGACGCGGGCCTTGGTCAGACCGATGGCTGGCACGACCCAACCACCACAGCTGCATCGAAGACCCTGCCATGCAAACTTGCCGACATTAGACCCGCAGACAGGATTAGGGCAAGTGAGACGCCCGGAGAGGGGGGCATCGTCAGGATGAGCGCCGTATGTTGTATCCGCGCCAGCATCAGCTCCGACCTCAGATGGGAAGAGACTGGGACGCATCCAGGTCAGGGGGTGGAGGAAGACATGCCCGCAATCGGCAGTTGCTGAGGACTTGGCAGTGTTTTTCTTCTCTTCTTCATGCGGGATGATGAATGGAGTCGTTGCCAATTTGGTTCTGTGATGGGTTTAGTTTTTCTGAATATGGGTTTAGATCTTCAACTGTGGAACTAACCTGCATTTTCGACATTTAATCTCGACCGTTCGACCGGTAGGGTCTTGGGATTGAACGGGCTGTTCATCTTCAAATCGCACAGACTTCAACTCTGGGGCACGGCCACACGCTACACTTCCTTCGACATCGCGGCGATAAAGCCAGCGCTTATACGATGGGTGGTCGGTGACCTCATCTGGGCAGCCCATCTCATGGTACAAATTCAGCTGTTCCATGAAGCCATCGTTTGGCTCGCATAGGGGCCTGCTTTGGCGGATCAGCGCAAGGGCAGTTTGCGGTGTGAGTGCTGCCGGCTGCCGGTGGAGCAGGTAGGCGATGCAAATGGCCGCGGAGCGGGACTTCCCCATCGCACTAGATCATATTAGCCAGTGTACATCTTTCTATGATAAGCAAGACTAGGGGCAAGGCTTGTGGGCTTCCAGTAAAAGGGTCGGGCCAACGCGCATCAGAACCTTTTACGGGATTCTTCAGCCACGTGTAGATCGCACTTAGATCGCACTTGATCGGATACGCAATGACGTAGGAGGCACAAAGCCACTCGAGAATAGCATTCCGCAAGAGGAATAGGAACGACTGAAGAGCCGGGACAGACTTTCCGCCAGTAAAACTGAAAATTTTGCGTTTTGACTTACCAGTGCACGAGTACACCTCCACCACCGTCTAGGCCGGACTGAATAAACTTGATAGCGGCGGGGATTTGTTCCAATAAATTTTCATCGTCGACATCGTCAAGTCCTATGGAAAGATGCTGGTAAGACTTGAACGTCTCCATTTCCTCAGCTGGGTTGAGACGCAGCACCGAGAGAACATGCGAGATATCTGCACGTGCCAATGCTGCTTTGTTTTTGGCGCTTAATATGCTACAATGGCGCGTTAGCAATGAATAAAGACCGCAAATTAGGAACTGGCAATTCCATCTCCAGCCTCAGCTCCATTTTAGAAACATCTGGGCAAGGATTGTCTGTTAGCGAAGTGAGACCAACCCTCCGACATAGATATTGTGGCCTTTTATTTGATTCATGGCCATTTTGAGATATGGTGGCTGCACGTTGACAGCAGCAGTATGTTCTGTTGATGGCGACAGAAAAATACAGAATTTAGAAGCTCAGCTCCAGTGCCAGTTTGATAACTTGACTCTTTTTTTCGTCCTAGATCGCAAAGGCGGAGGTTGAGCCTCGGCGCTGCCAAACTCAAAAAGTCTGATAGGGCAAGGGTATGACAAAGCAGGTGACTTTGATGCCTCAGGCAAATATATTGATTTTCCGATTTTCCGATCTAGTATAGTTGTCAGTTGATTTGAACTCCATTTATTAGTCCTCGAAGATGCACGAGTACAACATAAGTACAGCTGGAAGAGAGTGTGGATTTGTATACAGCGTGGCACTTTGGTGGTCATCCACTATGAGGATCTCCCCCACTCTACGGAGTAGGGCTGTCCTAATTAAGTAAATTAAGTACAGGATTACAGTGTCTACGTTGTAGTTCCAGGTGTTTCGTGCACAGATAGATTAAATTACAAAGAAGTCTAGCCGAGCGTTTTCCGAGCGTCATTTACATCCAACAAAGGTCAAACAATTGACGTCGTTAGCTGATGATATGATTCGCTACGCGAGCTGCAAGGGGGGGGGTGCTCACGGGGCAACAAAAAAGGAAGCTAGATTTAGGCTTGGTTAGGCTTACCGCGGGGAACTTGGACCTAAACTGATCAGGAATGGAGCCATAAACGGGGACGAAGCCATATACGGCCTCGCTACTCCGTACTCCATACGGAGTATATAAAAACGGCTAGCTTGTCCCGCATCACATTGACTAGAGGCGTGACACGCGCTTCTAGGCTGCAGCCCTCTAAGGCTTAAGCTGCCTGCGCCTCAGGAGGTACGGAGTACAATGCAGCAATACACGGGCTCTTGCAGGGCTTGGTTTTTGCTGACGGCCTGGGCAAAGACTGGGCATGTCAGCCGAAGGCGGCCGAACTAAGGAGTACAAAATCCGTCAACCCCTCCCTGCTGACGGACTAAGTGTTATTGCTGCCTGTCACTGAAAAATGCGGAAACGCCTCGATGCAGTTGTGTAGCTTACCTAGTCAGCCGTCATCCGTACTAAGTTAACGCCTCCTAGAATATCAACTAGCTTGACGATGACGATCGATGGAAAATACATACATACATACTGGAGCCTGAAACTTATTAAACTGGTCTTTGGTACGAAGTACAACATACAGAGGATGAATCACTGTAGAGAGGTATTAACCTCCCGCCAAGAGATTCACTACCAAGCAATTATAAAACCCTGATGTCGAGCTACCTAACGGAGAAAGCCTGCCTGTTGGAAGAAAATCATTACTGCGTACAGACTAAGATGCTTGATCAGAAGATCCGATCGTCATACGCGTGATAAGGCTCCAGGGGTATACATATAAATCTCCCACCCGATTATAGTCCACACATATATTGTATCAATGTAGACTAGAACTGAAGTCTAAGTACAAGGATGGATTGCGGTATGAAATATACACCATTTCCATTTAGCGATATTTCCCAAAGAAGAAACCCAAAAAGAGATTTCGTTCTCGAAGCTGATGTGGAGCAGGGAATCCGCTTACTCAGCCCTGCCCCCTGCAGCCCTGGAGGGTTTGTTCCAACGTTCTTATTTCTCTTCTCCCCTTCATCGCCAAAACCTAGGCCATTTTCAGTGATTTTTCCAACCGAATTGCATGCAGCATGTCTTGCTCGATGGATATTTGATCATACCACAAGCGTCAAGGTTCACACCCCCCTACGCCCAAATGACAGGCGGACCGGCAGTGTGGCAGTGCATGCAATGCCAGGCGCCAAGTGGGGGGCGCTAGTAAATCAGTGGGTCGAAATGTCCAACGACTGCATCGTCCGCTTTTTTTATGTGGAGGCAAAAGAATGTTCCCTAATGAATGTAGGGCCCCCGAATCCTCCGAACGCACAAGATCTCGTGTATACTCATCGTACCACGAGTTGCACATGTATCGTACAATGTACACGTACTTGCGCGGCAGTTCAGGATCAAATAACCCCGATTAACCGGGGGTGTTGTCGCATGCGCCCCTTGGCTGGGAGATATTAAGCCTAAATGCCAAGAGTTCCAAGCCCTGGTGTGTTCTCACTGGTTGCCAAGCTGCACAAGACCGTGCCAATCTATACTTCATTCTCCCAAGGACTCGGCGGGATTGCGGTACCCCTCTCTATGAACAAGTTTCGATTCTAGAAAAGCATAAACCATGGTTCCTAGGTGTTTCTGTCGTTGTCGGGGCTGGGTTGGTCTCACCGAAGGACCTTTCACCTTGGCGTAGGGCTAATAAAATACAAATTTTGTGTTTTTTGGCATGAGACTTGGTAGAAGGTGAGATTAAAGAACGTTATATACATCATCCGCTGGGTCGCATTGCGAGGCGTCCAATATACGAGAAACCCCCACCTATCCGCACGGCCATTCGGCAATGTTCTGGTTGGCTTCCATGATCCCGTCAAATAATGTGAAGACTCCATATGGGGTAGGATAGTGCGTCACATAGATCAGCAGGAACTGTTGGAACTTGGAACTTCTGGGCCAGTCTATTGATTCCCGGTTATGGACTGGACCATATATTGGAGCTATAGAAGTGTATCGGATATCTACAACATACGTAAAGCAAAATTACATGTGTTAACGCTAAGCCTTGTGCCCTAAGAACTGTTGTCATTCCAACGTGGCTTCCCACGCAAGATCCAATGAGATAATTGTCAATAATCTAATGTTTAATTCGACCTGAATACCCATAACTACCATCTATACCCCGTAGAAGCAATCCATTGGAAAATACACAACGTCCGTAATGGTATGTAACAGCCATGACCCATATATCCTCGATACATACATATACGCCCTTTCCACGTCACCCAAAGGGCAGCCCTGGCCCTGCCTGGCCTGCCTGGCCTGGCTTGGGATGTTTCGATTCTTTTTCTTTTTCTTTTTTCTTTTCTTTTTCGCCTCTTCGTCTTTGATTAGTTGAAACCTTCAAATCTTCATTTTTCCCTTCTCCCTTGAGGATGAGATCACCTCAACTTGCCCCCCTCTCTTTGCCTGAATTGGATCCAATCGCTTGCACCGCCCGAATTCCTACCCGATACGATCTGGGCGCATTTCAATTCTCACCTTTTCTCTTTTTGATTTGACCTTTGGTTTTGATCTTCAGCTCCAGCGCCAGCCGGCCTTTCCTTTTGCCCTTTTATTTATTTGGGCTTCAGCTAGTGGGGTTGCCATACTTAGAGTGTGTGTATTTCTTTATACTCAAATACCGGGGCTCCATGGCACCATTCTAACATGCCCTAGTTCTAGCTGTGCTATTCTTTTCTATTCCCCATTAAACATGTGTGCATCTCCCCATTGAGTTACAGTGTGGCCAATTTCTATGGGACACAGACCCGGTTCTCCGTGTGTCACTTGCGGGAAAACGTTTCATCTTATGAGGCGAATCGCCGAACAAGGGTCCCGAGGTAGGTCTTCTTCAGCCCTATTCTTCCTACTTTCCTACCCCGGTCTTTTATTATCACGTCAAGCCCACTTTCAAATCATCTGACGCTCAAAATAGACTCACAAGACTTTTATCACCTGCATGAAGTCCTCTAACATTGTCCTATAACTACTCTTCGACTCAAGTAGGCAGAAGCTGGACCTTCTGAGAAACTCCTTCTCGGAGTGTGAGGCTGGTGAACGGCCCGCTTAACAATCTGAACTGGTTTCACGACCGACATTTGCACTCAACTGGATTGGGTTATTGCTGGGATAATTGAGATCTTGATTCGACCTGCTTGTTCCGATTTATATCAAGCTCGACTCTTCTGCTTTACTGGGTTTCTCAGCTGGATGCGTGCCCATCTTGATCTCGATTCCGGCTCTATGTTCTGCGTCTAGAATGGACCTTCGATTTTCTCAGTCGAGCTTCTATGATTTCAGACAGCACAGACGCCATTCCGAAAGATCCCAATACGCTATGCCCGAGCTGACCGTATCATCTCACGGCCCGTTACCTATAGCCCCACGAAATAGAGCTACTATGAAACCTGCGCCTCCGCCACTTCCGCCCCCATCCAGAATCCCCGCTTTGGAGATGGGCCATGACCCCGGCTGGCAGTACGCAAATTCTCAAACTCCGACTTCTCTACCGTCTATCAACCCGGGCTCAAGTCTGTTCGGAGGTCATCGACGGCCGGTAACCGCCTCACAGGGTGATCCAATGCAGATAGACGAGTTAGAGGGGAGGCAGGGAGCTCCACTCTCGCGGAGTCCTGAAACTCAGATCCAGATCCAGCCACCGCCGTCAGCTACAGACGGATTTCCAAATTCCATGTCGATCATCCCGAATCCGACAGGTCCAGTGTAAGCGCACTTAATGCGCGAGGAGTGCGAACAACTTGGTTTCGCAGTACCGCGCTTTTCTATATCTGATTGCTAACACATTGATAGTTTGAGTGGCGAGCGCGAATTTTCACTGCGTAGTGTCAAAGACTCATCAAATGCCTACGATCAACATCTATTATCCAAAATTGGAAAGCCTCAAATAGCAAAACCTCCGTCCCCCGGGGGATCTATCAGTCTTGGAGACAGCCGAAATTCGCTCTCTGCACTTACAGTTCCTTTACGAAGCCCAAGCAATCTGCCATCACCCGGGCCTTCAGAAGGGTCAACGCTGGATGTGAAATGGCACAATAGCCCTCAGTCTGCGGGCGTTTCCCCAAGGACAAATGTCAACTGGAGAGAGTATGTCGAAGGCCGAAGCCCAAGCGTGGAGAGCAATGCACCATCAGCACTGGATTACGACCAAGGATCTTTCCGACGCCGCTATCGTGGAACAACGCCCCAGCGAGAAGATAGCATCAGTCTACCGAGCCGATCGAACCGTGGAAGCTATGACCAGGGCGTTTTTTCAGATATCGAGGGAGAGTTTTCGGCCGATGAGCCGGCACCCCCACGACAATTCATTCTTCGAGAGCCCACACCGCCGTATCCGGATTCTAGACAGGGCATGAAACGACGGGCATCCTCACCTCCACGTGAGCCGATAAGCGACGATAGACATACCTTGCACATCGCGACGAGTAACGGAGACTTGTCTCAGCGAAGACTCAGTGGTCATCCGTTCACTAACACACTATCGGTCAACCCCAACTATCCCGCGAGTCAACGAACCCTCTCAACCGGCTCGTCCTTGAGCATCCGGACCTCGGGCTCGTATTCGTCTACGTTGTCTATTGGAGGTAGCAGTATGACCAGCCTTTCTCCGTACGATCGGCCGTCTCCAGGTGGTTTTTCACCAAGCTCCGACCTCGATACTTTCCACGAGAAATCAATCCTCAACCCCAGTCCTCCTGCGGCGCTATCTCACGCTACCCTTCCAAGATTCCCAGGGCCTGCGTCGTTAGAACCGCCTGCGACGGATTCCACTGGAAAGATGTCTGTCCCGACTATTATGAGTTTGCCAAAGCCAGCCACGCCGAAGATCGGCGGGCTTTTCATCTGCGATTGCTGTCCAAAGAAACCCAAGAAATTCGACAGCCCAGATGGCCTGCGGTAAGTTGACCGAGACGTCTTCATTTATGATCCATACTAATTTAGACAGTGCACACGAGATGGAGAAACAGTACGCATGCGCCTACTGCAACCACCGCTTCAAGAACAAAAACGAAGCCGAGCGACACCAAAACTCCCTCCACCTCCGACGCCATTCATGGTCGTGCGCCGCGCTCGTGACTTTCCAAGCAGCATTCCACCCCTCAGGCGCACAGGCCTGCCAGACCAGTGCCGGGGCTGCGCGTGACACCTGCGGCTACTGCGGGGAGGAATTCCCCAATTTCCCACAGGCAGACTGGGACCAACGATTCGAGCACCTGACCACCGTGCACAAATTCGGCGAGTGCAACAACGCGAAGAAATTCTTCCGCGCAGACCACTTCCGACAGCATCTGAAGCATAGCCATGCTGGCACGAGTGGAAAGTGGACTAACATCTTGGAAAATGCTTGCATGAAAGAAGAGCAGCCGCCGGAGCCTCGCGAGCCTCGGGGACCAAAGGATAAAGCTGCTTCTGGCCCCCAGACTGGGTCATTGACGACCAATGCCATCTCGGAAGTTATTAGTGAGCAATGACAATCAATAAGTCGTGTCTCCCTTGATCGCGGATTTGCTCTTCCTTGTGGCATCCGGCTACAAGACGGTTTCCCGCAAACGGCTCTGTGCTGTTAATCACATTTGCCAGTTCATACTCTGCAGTTAGATGATAGTCCACCCTCGTGGCATCGTCTACTCTTTTTGGATATCGAGACTAAACTCATTTGCATTGTATTTGCAATCATGGGTATTAAACTAGAATTCTGAATCTCCACCACATACCTGTTCATAAAAAGACAGCATCACCTCAACATCAATCAACAACAATCTCACTCTCATCACACCGGGGACATTCTCATCTCACAAACAAAAACAACAAAAACAAAAGCCTCTCATATTCATTCTAGAAAAGGCAAAGTGAGACAAGACACTTAAAAAAAACCCACACAAGGCCAAAAACAAGCCTGAACTCACGACCTGAAACGAACATTTTTGAAACATTTCCTTTTCCACGGAAAGAGAAAGGGGGGAGGGAGGGCGAAGGGAGTTTATAGTCGGGACTGGGATCTTTTTTTCAGGATCAATAAAAACCTCTGTGTATACCCCGGTTGCATTGCATTGCAATGGGGAGGATTTTCCTTTCTCATTCTCATCTCATCTCATTTTTTTTAAAAATTGGAGTCGGTTTCTTGGTTGGTTCCTCGACTGGGTGGACTGGAATACAAGGATGAATGGAATACTGGATGGAATACCTGCGTTCGGTTTGTGTCTATTCTGGTTTTTGCTGTTCTTCTAGGCTCTTATATATATTCCCCCGCCTGTTTTATACATACTTTGGATGGATGGAACTGTGAGGCGAATGGAGGGGCGTTGTATATATATTCTTTTTCTTTTGCATGGTAGCCTGAACGAAATATGTGGCTTTATGCCTTTTTCTCTAGTTATTTTGGTTCTTTCCAGGATTCGCTGGTAAGTAGACTTTTCAGTATTAAATGTAAATCCTCATTTTGATATACAGATACACCTAGTGAGTAAGTAGGTAATGTTCCACTAGAGAACAAAGTAAAAGCACAATTATTCAAACACAAGACTCTTGAACCCATCTAAATCTAATAGAAAAAACAGCCTGGCCCAACCCAGAAGGAAAAAAAAAACCCCCAACCAATCTCCACCTACTCAGTAACACTGTCCTTAATACTCCGCAGCGCACTCAACTTATGCTGAGGATCAATAGCAGCAGCCATCTGCGCCCGACGCCGGGCATCAGTCCAAACCATAAACTCGCCATACCCCTTCGGCATAACATGCACATCCTTCTCCACAAGGAAAGTATAGTTAAACATGCCCGTGGACTTCTTCGTGCCGTGCTCGACATCCCGCACCTTGGAGTCAACGCGCACCTGCACCTTGGTGTACTTGGTGCTATCACCCTCGCGCTCCTCGGGCTCCGTGTACGCAACCGTGGCGCGTAGGTACAGCACGCTGCCTACGGGAACGGGGTTCTCGAAGGTGCTGGGGTCGAGGGCGACGAAGTTTGGTCGCGCGTGTGCGAAGGACGCGGCGCAGCAGAAGGCCAGCTCGAAGGTCTGTTTTAGTAGGAAGCCGCCGAAGATCATGAAGTTGTGGCGGTTGCGATATTGGGGTTGCATGATCATGGCGGATTTGAGGACGGTCTCGCCCATGAATACCTGGTTTGCGGGGCGGGTAACTGTGCTTTGGGGGTCTGGGGAGGTTAGTATTTTTGCATAATGGGTAATGTAGTGGGTGAAAAGCGCTTACTTAAGTAGGACATCTCCTTTGTCCACATTGAGTGGATCAGGTTACTCTCTTCCTCGTCAGGTGCTTTCTCCAAGAGGCTGCGTGTGCGACGGGCCTTCTTGGCCTGGTAATTCGCCTCGCCCTTTTGGAAGAGGCGTTTTTCCTCTTCAGTTTCAATGATGAGAGGAGCTATTGAGACAGGCCTAGTTGGCTGTTAGTTTGTGTGTATCACGCCATAAGAGGAGAACATACTTCTTGGTAGCAGGATCCAGAGAGACCATCGTGAAAGCACAAGTGATCAAGACATCTTCAGGTTTCGCCGGCTGTCCTTCCGGGCGGGCCTTATTGACCTGAAGGGAGATTTCCAGACTGGAGCGACCTGTCGCATAGGTACATTGGCCGCTGAGCTCAAGGTCACAAATTTCCATCAGCGGATTCTCAATGGTGATCCGGTCACACGCCGCAGTGACAGTGGATACACCGTCACCTGTGTGACGGTAAGCAACGATGCCAGCTAGGGCATCGAGGTCCATCAGAAGCGAGCCCAATCTAATCGCAATCAGTCAAATGCCCCTTTGATATGTGGCTATCAAATACGCACCGAATATGCCCAGAGGAATTGAGATAAGAATCCAAAAGCCATTTGTCTTGCGCCAAAGGCAGAATCTACCAACCAGTCAATACCAACGGTTCCAACCCCACGATATAAAAATTTCATACGCACAGCACTGTAATAGCTATCCGACATCTTCTTCGGCGTGACATCACGCTTAATGCTCTCATCCTCATGCGGGCCAGGCTTCTGAGCCTCGCGCATTTGTGTCAACGCGTCGATCCACGGAGTCTTGACGCGCATGGGCATCCATGTTGGCCGGGCCGCTGCCTGCGACGGCGTGGAGTGAAAATCCTGGGTGTTGATGCAGGATGGCTGAGCTGCGACTGCAGCTCGCGCGGGCAGCGCAGCCAAGGATTTTGAGCGAGCGAGCGCTGATCTTCTACTGAGGCCGAACATTTTGATGTCGAAAGAAGGGGGATTAAAAATTAGATAAGGATGTAGATATCGGTCGATTGTACTCCGTACTCAAAAATGACGATGTCCCGAGGCTCTGACGTTACGGATGTCTCCAGTGACCAGGACAGATTTAATCACATGGTAGGTTGGCAGAACGTTACCGCCCTGGTCGCTGGACTTTTACAGTGAATTTACTGGCAATTTACTTGATTGTTTTGCTGATTTGAATGGCAGTTAGTTCTGTGGACTAAATTTCCTGGCAAATATACTGAAACCTACATATTCTAACGAGCTGAAGTGATAGCTCATGAGTCTATAAATTACGTATCTCATGGTCACTGCAGCGCGCCGTGAGATTATTTACCGGCTCCGGTGATTTTCGGCCCGGATAAGAGAAACGATGTCATCACTTCCGATTGGGACCCCGGGTTTTTATATTGTTCTGTAGATGTTTGCAGCTGAAAGTGACACCTCGAAGCACCTGAAATGGAATACAAAAATCTAAGACTAAAGAATCACAATCTAGGGACTCGATTATTGCTCCATTCAAGCTGTCGGCTAAAACAACTCCCGGTTGCCATGTGTATCTGTAAGGGTTCTTAGCAGTCTTGCAGTTCGGAAGAAGGTTGTTCTGTATCATGCAAAACTGAATACACTCATCCACAACTCCTTTTTCATTTCATTAAAATGCGGAGGGTATATCGTACGATGATTGTATCTTGGAGTTCATTTAAGCTTACATATAGAACCAAACTTTCCGATGGCCAAATAACGTCAAAATGAAGTCATCAATCTGATATTGGTTTATAACACTCACTTCAAGGCGATTAACTCTTTTTTTGCATCTATTCGAATTGACATTGACTTGAAGAACCTGGAATAAAAACAACAACATCTATTTCCAACATGAGTGACCCAACAAACCCGCATATCAAAGAGCGCAACACACCTCAATGGGGTCTCTACCAGCGAGAGAACTTCATGAAACAGAGAGAAGGAACGACACCACTTTTCAACACTGGTATGTTTTCAATATGATCTCTCCAAACCTACAGAAACCCTAACTCTTTTACAGACCCCCGGAAACTGGAAGAAAGAGCCAAAGAGAAGCTGACCGAGGGCGGCTGGTATATATACCTCCCCATCACACGAGCTCAAGATCCATAAGCTGACAAGAAGCAACAGGTACTATGCCTCCTCAAACGCCGGGATGTCAAACACGCACCTCGTAAACCGACAAGCCTTCTACCGCCACCGACTAATCCCGAACCAATTAATCGACACAAACAACCGGTCAACAAGAACAACAATCTTCGACCACAACGTCTCCGCACCAATTGGCTTCGCCCCGATCGGAATCAACAAGATCTACCACCCAACCGGCGAAGCAGCAGTCGCCAAAGTCGCCAAAGAGCTCAACCTCCCCTACTGCCTATCCACAGCAGGCAGCACCTCGATCGAGAAAGTCGCCGCAGCCAACGGGCCAACAGGCACCCGGTTTTACCAACTGTACATGCCGCACGACGACGAGCTAACCGTATCTCTGCTCACACGGGCATGGGAAAACGGCTTCGACGCGCTGATTCTCACGACGGATACGTGGCAGCTCGGATGGCGACACGACGACGTCGCGACGTCCAACTATGCATTCTACCGCGGGTTCGGCGCGGACTTGGGACTTACGGACCCAGTGTTCCGGAGCAGGTGTCTTGCGGACGGGATTGATCCCGATGTCGATATTGTCGAGGCGTCGACGAAGTGGATTGATTCGGTTTGGCATGGGCAGGCTTGGTCGTGGGAGAAGATCCCTTGGTTGATGAAGACTTGGAAGGAGATTAGTGGGGGGCGGCCGTTTGTGATTAAGGGCATTCAGTCGGTTGCTGATGCGAGGGGGTGTGTGGAACTTGGGGTTGATGGGATTATCGTGAGTAACCATGCTGGGAGGCAGGTTGATGGGGCTGTTGCTAGCCTTGATGCGCTTGAGAAGATTGCTCAGGCTGTTGGGGATAGGATTTATGTTATGTTTGATTCTGGGGTTAGGGGCGCGAGTGATGTTGTCAAGGCGTTGGCGTTGGGGGCGCGGTTTGTGTTTATTGGACGGCTTTGGGTTTGGGGGTTGAGTATTCAGGGTGAGGATGGGGTCAGACATGTTATGAAGTCGTTGCTGGCGGATTTGGATATTTTGATGGGTGTTGCTGGGTACAACGGGGTTCAGGATTTCAACCTAGATATTCTTGGTGAGTCTTGTCTTTGCTGCGGTGTAAGAGTGAATGCTGATTAGGAGATGCAGAGTCGGATCCGAAGAACTACACGCTCATCCCAGAGAAGACTTTGTGAATGGAGACAGACCAGGCGGGATCCTGATTAAATTGTCCATAGCATAGCTGGTATAGGGACAGCTTGTTACTTTAGTCTATACTCAATCTACAAGTCCTCGGCTACGGAGTTTTACACCCCTCATGTATTCCGTAGGACTCGTCAAGTGGCTATGAGAGCCACGACTTCAGGAACGTCCACGAGAAAGACTGGTTTGTTATCTGATGCAGACCTACATGGACCTCATGCATATGGTAATGTTATGATCCCTGTGGTAGGTGAAGCAGCATGTGCTACGGCACCCTCTGCCGACACTGTCTCGTGGGGGCTACGGTGAGATGGTGGCCAGAGAGATGGGGAGAGAAGAAGAAGAAGAAGAGGAGAAGAGAAATGGGGGGAAGGGTCCTTTTATACCCCCAACCCACGTGCCTTCCTCAAGTGCGACAGGTCCCTCGCTCCTTCCAGTCAATGTCAATGTCACATGCATTGTGCCTTCTTTGTTTGCCTTCTTTGTTTACATTGTTTGCATAGAGCACTTCCAAGGAAGGTGCATCGACTAGACATTACAACTGGAAACTGTCCATGAGGGATTTTGGCGCCTTGCCAATAATGTAGACTTTTGTCTATGTAAATGAAAATAATAGCAAGCCATGTCCAGTTCAAACGAAGGATACATGAATGTGCAACACAAAAGAGTGATATATGCAGCCGAGAAAAGCCGAATAGACAAAGTGCCGCAAACGTATGCTAGATGAGTGGGCTAAATATGTAGACCCGGTGTATCAACAGAAGTGACATGATGTGAGTGTACAATGATTGACAATATGCACAGAAAAGACGTGGGCGACAAATGAGTGTACAGAAATAGTAATACAAAGGCAGAAATGATTGTCGCCAAATCAGAAAAAAATGCCGGGAAGGGAAAATAGGCTAAAATGCAGTTCAAATAGCAAATGCGCCGAGCATGACCGTCAGCATAGACCAGCTAATGCCGCGGACGAGGTGGGATGCAGAGCCGCCGGAGACTGTGGCCATTGTAGAGGAGGTCGATGTAGCATTAGCGGCAGACGCAGCGGTGCCATTGGACGCCGATGCAGTGAATGTTCCATTGCCCACGGATGAGGAGGATGAGGAGTTTGACTTCGAAAGCGCGCCGAATCCGATCTTTCCATTGTCGAAATCAAACACGGTGTAGACGTTTTTCAAAAAGACATCGCCGACGAGCCAGTTTGCACCGTTTGATGCATAGCCGACAATGGTCGAAATGCAGTAATCTGAACCGGTCGACTCGGTATTTCCGACATAGTCCTTAGGCGAGACGCTGTATTTGACACCAGAGAACTCGAACTCGATAGTAGCAGTCGAGTTACAGGGGATCAAGTAGTTGTTCGAGTTGGAAGACTGTTGGGATGAACCGGGGACGAGAGAAAACAGGACTTTGGCATCTTTCGGAGGGATCAGGAGGTAGGTAGTGCCGGTGTCGATGGTAGCGGATTTTCCGGTGAAGTTGCAACTCTTTCCATTCACATAAGCATCATCCACGGGGATGCTCCAGATTTTCTCATTGGTGGCAGTATAGGAAATGGTACCATCGAATTTGGTCGTATCGACCGCACCAAAGTTGATTTCCCCATCCTTCGCATTGTCTGCCGAGCGAGAGAGACTGAACCCAACCAAGTTTGATTTGATGAGCTTTTTCTCCGCAACAAGATCCATGAAAGATGGCAAACTCCACCCTACTGTACCCGAGCGACCCAGGCCCAGGATCCCGTCGAATGGATAACTCTGAAAAGCTTCCGAGGCATTGTCGGCTTGACCGAAGGTTTGCTCGACTTCGAGCCCTGCAAGGGAGATTGCGTCTTTCCCAATCTTTCCGGTGACCGTGCCACTGCCGTAGGCGAGGGTGAAAGTCGAACCGGCGGTGGTGTAGCTGGTGGATGCTGACTGGTTGAAAGTGTGATGGCTTGTGCAGACAGGCTCCGTGCATTCCGAGTCGAAGACCCAGGTATTGGGTGCTCCGGTGTCGATTGCCATCCACATTTCTTGCTTTTGGGAACCTACGAGGACGGGAGAGAAGTATGAATAATCCGTTCCGTCCTGGTTTAACGGGGCGCTGTTTGCCAATGACGGCGTATGGGACTCGACGATCTTATAGGTATCGTCGCGGCGAACGGGCATTTTCTTTAGGTCAATGGTGAAAGGTTTCGTGTCGGCTGCGTCGGTACTCTCATCGTCAGATTTGGCATCAATCAAGGTCCATGGAACGAAGCGACGTTCGACTGTAGTTTCCGTGGAGAGTTTCATTCCCAATTCCCATGGATAGAAGGCGTGGACGCCTGATATGCCGGCAATGAAGACCAGACATGATGAAAGATGCATGGTCCCTAGGGGAGTTTAGGCAGAATATAGAGAAGCCCGCATTTGATAGACCGAAGCCGGATTCAATTGTATGTCTCTTCATGCAATATAACCGCTGTTTCCTGGTGAGCCGAGGAATTGAACCGAGCAGCTGAATGAATGAACTAAGTGACAGACTAAAATTGAAAAGAAAGGCTAGAAAAGAAGGTATGAATTATAAAATGAATTGTAAAGGCGAGGAAGTTCGAGAGACTCGAAATGTGAAAGATGGGAGGTGGCGGACATTGTCTCCACCGTTGAAAAAACCCCTGACAAGAAGTTGGCCAGGCTCTAAGCCGTAAGAGGAATAGTTTCCACCTTCTAAGGCTCGTTTTAGTACTGATCGGCCGATTAAATGAAGCTAGTGGAGCCCAAACTCAATGTCCTATAGAAGGAACTGAACGAGTCAATATTTGATCTTGAATCTTAATCCTTGGACTATTTTTATACCGTAGACTATGGATACTTTAGAGAATCTGGGGAGGGAATGTATCAATGGTCACAAAGTAATGGAAACTACTCCATATGTACTTTACATGAAGTTGAACAGCAAACGTTGAAGTTTTTCGTGGGAACACATACAATGTAAAGATGAGATAGAGCGAACAAAAATGGAAGCAGTAAAATCTCAATCCGCAGAATGCGATGCGACGATATATTGCCCAATGCCCAGACACCATTACAACGTAAGGTCTAGACTCGCAGGATTTACGCCTCCACTCGGGTCGAGAACGTCTGACCCTGATAACCCTGACAGGGACCACTTTTTTTTGCAGCTAGTACATACCGCAAGTCACTGTTCGCTGAACTATTCAAATTGATTCAAGTTTAAATTCCAGTACGGATTTTGGGCATTTCGACCTGATCCAATTGCCTGAAGTAGGTAGATCAGTAGAAGACCTAAAACGGATCGAACATGTAGATCGTGAGCTAACTGTGGAGACAGATCAATCGAACACATCCAGGAGTTCCACCGCTGTGTCACAAGCTGTGCGTACTCCGTATATCATGAAACAAAGCCAGCTATCTGAAAACTAATAATTTGTATACCATATATCGCTAGATAATAAGTTAGAGCAGATGTTATACGAGTACAAATTTTATAAAACTACTGCCTACCATAGTGACACTGTGCGACATGTTACTATTCGTATCTCGGTATAAGCATACAAAAGTTGGACATTGGTGGCAATATCTCGATTTCATACAGGAGTCACGACTTTTGCTATTGCTCCATCGGAATTGACATTTGGAATGAGCGAATAGTTACTGTATAGATTTAGGTCGGCTAAATGGGCCTAGCTATGGAGAGGGGAACTGCCTGGTAAATAGTACCCAATTATGCCCGAAGAACCAAAGACCCAAGGAAGCACACTTCATGCCCAAGGATCTTTAGGGCTATCTCGAAGTAGATAAAATCATCCTAACAAAGACACAGCACCCGTAGATCAGCCACAACCCCTTAACTACGGCCCAAACAACCACAAAGCACCAGCCACATCCGGCCTCAACTAAAACAACAAAAGGAAGAAAAAAAACTCCAATGACGCAACATCCAACAAACCCCCAAATCCCCAAATCCCCAAAAAAGATTGATAAAACAATCAGATAATCACCCCAGCTCACCCCGAAATAGCCCGAGCGGGACCTCTCCCTTCCCCACGACATCCAAGCCCCATCCCATCCGTCCCACCGACTCAGCGGCACCAGGAAATTGCACGGCAAAAAAACATACCTCGGAACCGCGAATATATTACCGCGGTGCCGATAGACACACGGCAAGAAAAGAAAAAGTGGGCTGATTCGATTCGGTATCCTTACTACTAGTCTACATAACTAGTACTAGCGCCGGTCCGTCTGAGCGCGAACGTGCGGACGCCATTGTTCCGGCGGTGGATAGGGACAGTTATCGGCATCCGGGCTTAACTGTAATTTTTAGGGTTATTGGACACCCATCTCGGCAGGCACACATGCGTCCGATAACTACGGAGTATGTAGTTAGACCGCAGTGTCATCCGATGACTCACGTCTGGAGCTCCGCGGCTGGTCTGCTGACCTCGGGTCAACGGTGTTTTTTTGATTAACGGCGGAGGAGAGATGCCCGGGGAACTGGATCTTCACTTGTTGTACTCCGTAGATCATGGTGGGTACTATTGGATTTACTGCCTCGGCACAGCGGAGAAGGTGTTTTTTTCGGGTTTATTCCGCGAGTGAGGGTATTGGGTCATTGTGGCAATGGATTGTGGTAATTTGGTAATTTGTAGATTGGAAAGGTATGTGGATGAATGTGATTGTGTTTGAATTGCTCTCGCTTTGTACCTATCTATTTGCTGTATCTAAGTATTTAGTAGGGTATGACTTATTTCGAAGATGTAGATAGTAATGTTCAATTGACTGACACAACTCGACACAGCTGTGGAATAAGATGAAAAAGAAAACAAAAAGCCATGATCGGCTGACATCATGAAGACGTCCACATGGGAAAGATAATACATCAAAACGCTAGTATCTCAAAACAGTCCGACGAACCCAAACATGAAAAAGACATAGCGTGAACTATGTATCAAGCATCACAAGAATTGTCTCATCCCGTCAACAGGACCGAAAACAACAAGAATAGACCAAAGAGGCAGAATCTACTTCCTGACACTCTGCTTGGGCCCCAGAACATCATCAACGAAGCCAGCCCAAAGCTCACGTATGACACCGGGCTCAGAAGTACCATTTTCTTTGCGCTGGAGCTCCTCACCGGCACGCGAGCGGCCGACGGCCTCGGTCAGCGAGAACGGGTCAAAGTCGACGGCGTGGTTATCGACGACCTCGCTCATCGCGCTGGCCTGGACGTCGGGGCCGGCGCCGCCGGACACGGTGTAGATCTGGGGCTTCATGGATGGGGGGCTAGGCGTTTGGAGCCTTGTGGAGGGCCCGGAAAGGACCGGGACTTGGATGGGGCGCTGCAGAGGGGCGGCATCGAGCTCTGCCATGCTGGGCATGTAGACGAAGTCGACGGTTGAGTTGTCGTGTGTGGCTTTTGAGGCGCGGGAGGTGTTGAATTGGCGGGAAGAAGGGCTAGAGTGTGTTAGTTTTGGGTTTCTTTTTTGAGGGGTTGGATTGGAGGTAAGGATGGATGTATAGAATGGAATGTGTGGGACATACTCTGAGAATGCATTGCCGTTGATTCGGCGCATGGCGATGCTGAAGGCGCGGGATTGGAGGACATCATGGTTGGAGAGGGCCTTCTCGCCGGGGTTGACGGGTTGAGCGGCCTGGACTCCGGTGATGTGAAGGCTACGGCGAGCAGCAGATGCCACGGGCTGTTGAGAAAGAGCGCGGACAGCGCGGAGAGAAGATGAACGGGGAGCAATCATTGTGATGGTATAGAATGTATAGAGCTATAGCTGTCTGAGATAGAGCTATGTTGGGATGCTTGGTAAAGGCAGAGGTCGCCAGGTATAGAGGGAAAGTGGAAAAGGGGGAGTGAGAAGTGAGGGAGCAGAGTATAACTAGGAACCGGATGGGAGCTTTATAGAGCCCGGGGAATGGTTGGGGAGAGCTATGAGGCCACTTCTTGGCGGTCTGGACCGTTATCGATAGTGTCAGCCAGAAAAAGTATAGCACGTCAACACTGGAGAAAAGATATGGAGTACAACATAGTGGATTTGTTGGATTCGTTGGATTTGATTTAAAATCGAACAGAATGTGGATAATTCAGACTTTCCTCTACAAATGTATCCTCTTGGACTACCATGGCTGTTGAGTCCAATCCCCCAGACACAGATCTACGGCGTAAGTCCTATCGGGACTACACCCCAGCACTAGCAGTGACAGGATGTACCTGGTACATCACTTACCCCCCGAAAATGATGTATTCCCTAAACATCGTATCTTCCCCTCCCAAAGTGAAACTGGTGATCATTACGTCGTCTCTGGAAGATCATCCAATGAAATAACCACCAGCATAGACAGCGGCCATTATTGGGTGTCTTCCTGCAGAACGGGGTAACGCACTCCCTACTCCATAATCGTAACACCCATCTGCATTGTCCAACGTAGTCCCCCACTCGACGAGAAGTGGAAAAGAAGGCGGAGAGGGTATCCGGCCGGAGATACATGCCATGCACAGCGGTTCCGTTATGCATATTGCTCTGGAATCCCCGAGTTGTGAGTGGCTCCCACGCCCAACTGGTGAGTCAGTCTGCACCAAACCTTGGTCGCAAGCCACAAAATGTAATGCAATTCCAGTTCTGGGAAAGACCGGGGTTGATCGCCACTCCTCAACGTTGAGTAATCCCATGACCTGATAGTGGACCTTGAATGGATTCGAAGAACAATATTCCAAGACCACGGAAGCAGAGGAGTGGAGCGGTGTGAGATTCGGAGTTAGGACCGCCTTCCGAGTGATCTACAAAGTACGACAACGTACACTTTTGGCAACAGATTCGATGTGCTACGCAGTACAATATGCAACAAACAGTTATTTCGTGCAGATGTCCTTGATCGTCTATGGTGCGACGTGTCCGTTTGTCCTTTTTCAATTTCCAGATTCATGCGTTTCTCACCCCGCAATCGCTTAATATGCCCGGAACCTCCGGATCAAAGGAATCGTGTGAGATCAGCAGACCCTACGGAGTACGGAGGAGAGGTGCTGTAATGTTTTTATGGCCAGGGGCAGGCAAGTATTCGATGGCTGTAAGGGCCCGCCTGGGGAAGTGTCGATAATCTTGGCAGGAATGAATTGTTCCCCTTTCCTCCCTAGATCCGAGGGTCAGAAATTTGGGGATTTTTGATCATAGGTCAAGTAACTAGTAAAGTAGGCAAATATACTGGTCTAATTAGGTAGGAAATATATTCTGTATGGTATGTCCTAAAGTAAATAGATGGCTAACGTCACCGCGCTATGCGATTGGTCAACACTGCAATCCCAATGCAATATCTCTCATACGATTATCCGACTTGTATATTCAAAGTTTCGACCCCGGTCGCCGTCCTTTAGCTATGGCCCGAGCGTAAGGGTGCGAGCGAGATGCTGGAACCAGATGGTCAACATCCCCGGTGTGCACGAGATCAGGGGCCGCCTCCGCCAGGGATGTGATGCCAATGTTCCGCATAGCTGTCTCCAGCTCATCTTGCATGACTGAAGAAACCTGAATCAGCAAACTATCAAGGCAATATGTCAATCATCACTTACTGTCAATCAGATGCTCCACTCCCTCCTGGCCATAGTTAGTAGCAAAGAGCATGCTCCGACCCATTCCCACGGCCGTTGCGCCCAGACATACAGCCTTGAGGATGTCAGTTCCACGCCGAATACCGCTGTCCACATAGACCTCCATATGATCAAAGACCTCCGGGCAGCGTCTGTGGATCTCCAGGAGCGTGATAATCGACGGCGGACTGGTATCCAGGTTGCGACCGCCGTGATTGCTGAGCAAGATACCATCAAGCCCCGCTTTCATGGCGAGAAGCGCGTCATCCGCTGACATCACGCCTTTCAGACACACCGGCTTGTGCGTGTGCTGCTTCACCCATTTCAAATCCTCCCATGTCAGCCCAGGATCGATGAACCCAGCCATGACGCGGCCGAGACCGCCGCCTTTCTTGTCGTTCTGCGCTTTCGACGGCGACATAGGCACGGATAAGCTCTCGTCAGCCTTGACGCGCTCGTCGGCTTCGCGCTTACCGGGCCACGCGGCGTCCACGGTAACGAAAATTGCTTTGATGTTTGGATTCGCTGAGCACTGGCGAAGCAGGGCGGCGGACTTTGCTCGGTCCCGGTTGACGTACAGTTGGAAGAAGAAGTCGGCCGAGGGTGCTGCCGTGCGCAGCTCCTCCATGGTGTAGGATGAGTTATTTGAAATCTATCCAGATCGTAAGCTAGTGACTGACAATGGCAACACCTATATAAGCTCACTCCTTGCATGATTCCTTTGCTTGCGCAGGCTCTAGCAATGGCGCACTCTCCATCCGGGTGGATGAGCTTTGCCATTGCTGCCGGACTCACGAATAGCGGGAGCTTGTAACTCCCGCCGAGGATATTTGTCCGGGCATCTACTGAACGGACATTTCTTAGGACTCGCGGACGGAACCATATGCGGTCAAAGCATGATTTATTAGCGTCCCGTGTGATCAGATCTGTAGCTGCGCTGGAGTAGAAGGCCCAGGTCTTCTTGCTGGCGGTTTTTGAAGCGACGACCTCGAAGTCGTGCGAGTTGATCAGTGTCTCCAACGGGGGTTTCTCGTTTTCTAGTATCACCTTGGCACTCTGCCCCGGTGGTGGTTTGGCCCACTCAGCGTCAATTGTAGATTCATCGAGGACGCCCTTGAACTTCTCCGGGTGGAGATTGTTCTTCATTACGCTGGGTGCATGGACTTCTGAATAGGCTTTCGTTGCATCTCTCCCTGCATGCCTCAGGATGACTATTCGCGAGGTACATCAGATATCGTGCTGAGATCGTGCATTTGTCGGTGTACGTACTTGCAGATCCTCCGGGATGCTCTTCTAAAAAGTCGGTCACATCCCACACCTGTTTGTCGACCACAACCCAGCAGTCGCCGGGCGTTTTGTGCTCTGAGATCTGCTGAGCAGACAGAAGTTTTTGGTCTGCCATTGCTGTCGGGCGGTATGAGCGTGCGTATTCTTAGGTCAGCTGTGGAGAAATTGACCGCGATACTAAAAGACGCCGGTCCTGTATGTCGAATTGTGAAGGAGATTGAATGAGTGGAGACAATTCGAAACAGCCATCCACAGCGAGCTAAATACTCAGCAAGGGTCCTGGGCGGGGATGGCCTTCGGTAATGTCCCCGGACTTACCCCGGACTGCGCGGGCTAAAGTCTCCCGAGCTTTCTGTCGAGCATCTAACTTTCTATATGTAGTGCTGTATGTTGTATTCACACTTTTGAACTGGTCTTGGATGTCTTTAGGATCACCCTACGCAATCAGCTCCAGACGATAAGAACAGCAAAAGAGGTTGGTGTTCAATCTGAGCTTACACAGAATCACTCATGTTTGACGAAATCTAACCCACTAAAGGTGTCTCGAATCGGCAACGCACCGACTGGACTACGGATTTCGCTCCGAGCGGAGACTTCGAGCGGGGGTGAGATATGCCTCCTGAAATGTCAGGCATCATTCATCACCAGCCACATTGAATGCCTCAGCCACAATGCGGCTGAGAACTTTCCGACCGGAAGTCAACACACATTTCATGCTCGACAGAGGAACCATCTCAACAACACAATAACAAGGATATCTACTCTATCCATCTAATGCAAGTCAACTCTGCTGTTGGCTGTGCTTTGAAAAATTTTCGCCGCAATATCACCTCGGGTGTGAGGTCAACAGGCATAGATAGACCTGTTTCGTTAGGTTTGTCTTGTGTCCAAATACAGGCTTACCACCTAGTCTAGCCGTGGAGGCTGAGTGATCTGGCAAAGCTTGAACTGACTCATTTCGTAGGTTTTCATAAGAGTCACAGCTTGACTAGTCTGTCTTCTATAAATTCCATATCTGCTGGAAATCCCAGGACAATCTCCACGATTGAAAGACAACAGACCACATTAAAAATGGCCGAATCTAAACCTCTCCGATATGTTGATGTATGTCCCCTTTGTTTATTTTCGAAATGCTAGTCAACACATAGCTAACTATGAAACACTAGATCGGTATCAACTTGAGTGATCCCGTTTTCCGCGGTAAATATCACGGAAAGCAGGCCCACGAAGACGATCTCGACGACGTTATCCAGCGTGCTCGCGACGTAGGCTGCTCAAAGTTCATGGTAACCGGCTCAGATCTTGTAGAATCGAAGCACGCTGTCCATATCGCCAGCAAATACCGTGAGTTATGAGCTTGCCCGGACTTTCCCTCTCTTATTAACAACGGAATTCTACAGCGGGCTTTTGCTATGCAACCGTTGGTGTGCATCCCTGTCAAGCAAAACTCTTCGACAAATACCCAAGCGGCCCAGACAAAATGTTGGCCGAGCTTCGTACTCTAGCAATTGAAGGCACAAAAGCCGGCCATGTTGTCGCATTCGGCGAAATCGGCCTGGATTATGACCGACTGTTCATGAGCGCCAAAGAGCCACAACTCAAATATTTCGAAGCCCAACTAGACCTGGCTGTTGAGATTCAGCTCCCTTTATTTCTCCACTCCAGAGCTGCAAGCGAGGACTTTGAGAGACTCCTTGCCCCGAGGCTTGCAAAGCTTCCCAAGCGGGGACTTGTGCACAGCTTCACGGGAACAATGGATGAAATGAACCGGATGGTTGCGCTGGGCCTTGATGTCGGTGTTAACGGGTGCAGTATGAAGACTGAGGAGAACCTGGAGGTTGTCAAGGCTATTCCACTCGATCGGCTACAAATCGAAACTGATGGGCCTTGGGTATGTACTTTTCTTAGCTTTGTCTGGATTAGTCGTGACTAACCTATCCCCCAGTGTGAAATCCGTCCTTCTCATGCATCTGCCAAACATTTAGATGGTGCGCCGGATCTACCGAAGGCTGTGAAGAAGGAGAAATGGCAGAAGGGGTGTATGGTGAAGGGTCGGAATGAGCCTGTGGCCATTGCTCGTGTGGCTCATGTTATCGCTAGCGTTAAGGGTATCACTGTGGAGGAAGTTTGCGAAGCGTAAGATGTTGATTCGTCCTGATGCTTGGCTCTATACTAACTATTCTTCTCTCCAGTGCTTGGAATAACTCTATTAGAATGTTTGGGTTGGGCGAGGAGTCACCTTGATTTTGGTATTGCCGACAAGAAGATGTGATGATTCAGGGCCTTTGCTGTAGCTATCTAATTATGACAGCCATGGCGACTGGGAACTACCTAGTACACTTTCGCAATTGCTCAAACTCATGGTCTCAGCAGCAAAAATATAATGATACATCTCAATGGTCAGGGTCGTAAAATTATTTATGTGGTATTATATATCACAACAAAGGTATCATATAAGAATCTAAAGATAATCAGCCATTATAATGTCCGCATCGCATGCCTCCATATCCTCTCGGGGATCATAATCTATCACGTAGTTTTCCGGATAATCCGCCAATTCGCCATGATCCGAGAGAAGCATAGCATCACGGTCACCGTATGAAGTCTGGGAAGACCCAGTTGTCGATAACAATGTATCAAGAGATGTTTGCGTCGATTCCCCGATGTCTGTGAAGCTTGTCTCGCTGAAATTGTCCAAAAGCTGGTCCTCGGATTCGCTATTCAACAAGCACACGTCGCTTTCTTCATTCTCGTCGTGATATTTTGTTTGAGAAGAATGACACTGTCCCGGATTTTCATTATCAGGTTGATGCTGATCTATAGACGTAAGATCCACGAGCTCGTCTAATCCAGCCAGTGCGTTCGATGGAAATTCTGTGAAAAGCATCGAAACTCCTCTTCTTCTGGGTTTTATTCTGGGCACATTGTTCTGCGCGACACACCAAAGGGATGAGAATACTGCATTATTGCAACTTGGAAGTTGAGGCTGTATCGCCAAGTCACCCGTCTGATGGGAGGAAGTGAGCTCTAGCAAATCTGCCAATTTAGCTTTGGTGGATAGATTCTTGTTTCCTACCACCAAAGACGATATGGCTTTCGTGATCATTGGAATTGTCACTCCTCGCTGATTCATGGCCTGAGTCAAAATTAATAACCGATTTTCATGATCGAAACTGGGAACTCACATCCCGATATCCAGGATCGAAAACTGCGGGAAATATATCCGCGAAGCTCTTGATCGTGGATTTTTGTGAGACACTAACCGTGGGATCTTTGATCGAGTTGGAAATGATTCGTCTTTGGATTCCAAGATCGAACAGTCGGAAGAGTTCTTCGCTTGATGGTGATCTTTTTCCAGATATGCGAACAGTCTGTTGTCTAACAGCTGCGTAGGAATTCTCGTCATGCATTGGCAGTAGGATTTTGGTTTCTACCATTTCCTCTAACACATGAGGACTCGAGACAACCGATATTCCTTGTCCAAGAAGACTAACCTCCAACACGGAACAGTCCTCGGCTTGTGATACATCTTTGGCTTGAAAGCGATACTCCAGCCGAACGTCAATCGAAGCCAAGGTAGCTACTGGTACACCAGGGGGAGGACGCGCATCTGGGGGATTGGTCATCGAACCAGGCAAAGTCCGACCCGTTGTGTGGTTCCGTGCTAGACACCCTCTGTGCATACCAAGTTGGAGGAAGTGGAAACCAGAAGTTTCAATACAATATCTCTTGAGCTCAACTGAAAATCCGAGATCCGACCAGATCTGAAGCAAGGAAGTCAGTCTCCAATTTGAGAAATATTTCCCCGCACACACCTCCATATCGCAAAGTTTGTCTCTCAACTTCGAGATGAATGCCGCTGCTTCATTTTGATCCCAATTTCCCCCGATCCAGAAGCGCAACTCAAGCTCTGGTGCCTCTGTTATCCATATACTTTCAAGATTTGATAATTGTGAGAGGTCAATTGGTATTTCGGGAGTTGGATGACTTGGCGATTGGTTGAAATGAGCCGATGCGGCCAGGCGAAGCTGCAACTTTGAATCTCGGATTCGCAGAGTGGATTTACCCAAGTCGAGCGTTTGTGCCATTGCAGAAGAGGCTCATCACCAAAGCATCATACCTTCTTTTGGAGACCGGAACAGTCATTTAAACGAGCGATTTGGGGATTGGTGGGGTGTTGGAGAGGGATGGATGCGGCTACAGTACATGGACGGGGCACATGACTTTAGACTCTTTCCCTGACATCGCGTGCATCCAATTCTTAAATATCACTTTACTTTCCAGACATGTATTTGGGTTTTGTAAAGGCTCAGCTGAAAAGCTAAATTCTTGTTATAGATCTTGCTTAAAATGGAAATTGCTGCTGAGATCTGCTCACGGCTTAACAGCAACACATCTCAGACTGGCATATGTGATCCATTGACTCCCATCTTCTCTTGTAGTCCCATACCGGAGCATTCGGCAGATCTGCTCTATCGCACTATTCTTCTTCTCCTCGGTATCCAAGATATCCAGCATCTGAGCGCCGATTAATCTCATGAATCCTTCCAGTCCACCGTTATCAGAGGTGGTCAGCTCCAGCGGTTGGGGGTTAAGTTCAATCATCTTAACCTGAAACCCGACACTCTCAATGATCTTCTTCATATAGACGTCGGACGGATAAAACCAGGGGCACATAGCTTCCGCCGTCTCGATTGGAACTCCATGGTTGACAAGGGCGAACATGAATGCTGTGACCTTTTCTGGTGCATTTCCATGTCCGCACATCTCAAAGAAGAACGTACCTCCGGGCTTCATTGATTGAAAGATATTTTCCAATGTGGAGATATATTTTCCAATGTGGAGATACGGGTAGATGGGTCTTTCAAGATCCAATGGAATGCAGCATTGGAAGTGCTAAAATTGTATCAGCAGGGTTCTACAGGAAGTGGAAACACGGATACTAACACTTTATCCCAGTTTCCATTCATAACTTCTGCATATTCTTCAAGGTGCCGACAATCGACAACGCGGAAATCGGTGGTCGTTCCACCGTAGTCCAATGTCTTGGCCGTGTTGATCATGGATGGGGAAGAGTCAACGCCCATAACATAATTGACCGAGGGAGCAAAGCTGGTGGTAAACTTGCCATCACCACATCCAATGTCTAGAACTCTGTCCGTAGGGTTAAATTCTATGCTTTGGATGAGAGTGTCGGCAAAATGGGGGACAAAAGAAGCCGCAGCTGCATATGTCTAGATTTGGTCAGCGCAGACAAGACAAGGCAAGAGTTCATGGCCACAGACCTCTGTAGACCAATAGTCTTTTGGAGGAATCTGTGTCTGGGTCATTTTCAAGTGTATCCAAGATATATGGACTTCGTGCAGATGGTTAGAAGAAGATAGGAGCGCTTAGAGAACGGTATATGACTTATTTAAGAGAATGTATATTTCTGATTGATGAAGCGAATCTTCAGGCTGCAATCCGCTGTTATCTGAGTGCTGCATAGATTTCTCGCGTGGTCTTGCAAGTTTAATTAGGTTGACGTGGCACTCATGGGTAAAAACCAACAAATATGGAGAGGCTTCAGCTCGCCACAAGTCAGTACCGTCACCGCCACATGCATCGAAATTCAGAATCATGATATTTGCAGATCTCTGCTTTAGCCAGCCAAATCAAAGGATATTCACGTTGGTGGAGCAAGCCACACAGGATGATGAGCTTTGCCTTACTATTTTTCTATTTCTGAGGACTCCTGAGACGAGAGGCATACTTTGTACAAAATGAGGTTTGTAAGCGCCAATCATGAACGATTTTAGTTTCTCTGTCTCGGGATATCATTTTACGCCTTGATCGGCATTACAGTCCCATTCTAAGTACGATATAATAGGGTAACTACTCATGTGACCAGCCCAGCCCACTAGAGATCACTTCTCGATAGCCTCTCGGGTGTGACTACGGGAAGTTCCGTGTGGACCGAGAAATAGCTCCAGCGCTAAACTGCGCTAAACTGCTCTCGACTGGGATAACTTGGCATGCATCCACAAAATATCTTCAGCTCATGGCGTTCACCGGTCTGTTCCAGTCGTAATCTCACCACACCGACATCATGCATAAGCCTGGGCAGTATCAAAATCCATCAGTACGTGGATACACAGTAGCCGGCAGATACGGCCGAGCCAGCCACTTTCAATGCAGGCAGTCACCGCCACATATAGTGAGGTTAATTTAGCTGACAACGCCCCGAGCAATCAAACGTAGGCAGTCAACCAGGTCATGACTAATTTTTCGCTATCAGTGTATTGATATTAATGCCGATCAGCATAGTAGAACTTTATTTAAACCCCGGCTACATTCAATTCAGCTAGCCACTGAAATAGTAAATGGGGCAACCTATTGACAGAATTATCGTTTGCAGCTGGTAGGGCCTCGGCTGAGATTTCCGCGGAAGATGGCCCGGGAGATAGGTTTTAGCCCATCCGCAGAGTTCATAGACTCGATTTACCGCTGATGTATATATCCGTCCTTTGATATCCTAATCCATCCTTAGATTCTCAGAATCTGCCAGCATGACTATCGAAGTAATGTCCCATGAGCCATCCCCTATCAAACTCGCCTCCCTCGCATCCACCATCAACGAAGCAATTTTGCAATACTCACACGCTGAGTCTGAGTCAGAGAGAATATCAGCTTTAAAAAGCATCGATGTGACCTCCCAGAAGCTTGCACAATGCGCAGTGGAACCGAGACGGTCTCTGATGGCGTTTCACTTCCAACCCCATAAGGTTCTTTGCGTGAGGCTGGCCATCGAGATGCGCCTTTTTGATAACCTTCCAACCTCCGCTCCTTTCACGGTTGAGCACCTAGCAAAGCAAGCAGGAACAGACTTGGAATTTACTAGTCGCATTGCCCGCGCCTTAGGAGCATTGAACATCTTCGAGGAGGTTGGAGAGGATACATTCAAGCAGACCGCCTTGTCTCAAGAATGGAACGACAAGTTCATGCAGTCATATACCAGACACTCATGGGATAATTTTTTTTCAGACCCATGTCTTCATACATTGAGTTCTTCAACACCACGGGTTTCGTGAGCCCCTCTGACCGACTGAACACGCCTTTCGCATTTGCGAAGGGGGCCAAAAATGTGGATTTTTTTTCTCTGCTACAACAAGATCCCAAAGCTGCAACAATATTTAATGAAGCGATGACAAGCTTCAAAGACCCCCTAGGTGACTTATACAACTTCAGCAGCCTTCAAGTCGAAGAGGATGGAGTCGTTCTAGTTGATATTGGCGGTGGAAAAGGCCAAAGCATCCAGAGCATACAATCCTCATATCCAAACCTCAAAGGGCGATATGTCCTCCAGGATCTACCAGCGGTGATTGCAGCTGGAGATAGGATGTGTTCGCCCGAAGTCGAAGTGCAACCTTACAACTTTTTTGAAGAGGTGCAGCCCATCAAAGGTAGATAGACAGAGTTATATTTGGACTTGATATGATATTTGCTTATACCTGTTATTTAGGTGCTGCGGCATATCTACTCAAGCTCATATTACATGACTGGCAAGATGCAGAGTGCAGAACGATTCTCCGAAACTTAGCTCCGGCAATGAGGGGTTACAAATCGAAGCTTCTCATTTGCGATATTGTCCTGACAGATACTCGGCCAGACACACAAAAGGTTCTTTATGACATCAACATGTTTTTCATGGCTGGTAAAGAGCGCAATGTGAAGCAATGGCATGCTCTCATGGAAGGGACTGGATTCCGGATTGAAAGAATTATTGGGCTGGATAACCCTGTTCGCAGTATCATTGAGGTTGTGTTAGATGGGTAGTCATTGTTTTTCTACTTTTCTGAATGAATGAGAAAAGGGTCCTTTGTATATATACTGCAGATACTGTCTAATTTTTCTTGTGCCATGGACTGTGCCTTTTAAGCCTAAGAATATTTTATAGAGTATACTGGCTTAGGATGGAACCTAAGCCAGTATACTCTATAAAGAGGACCACAATCCCACCCCACTCCATGGTAAACCTACCAATAAAGTTCAAGTTGAAGCCTAATGGTACTTGGACTTTCCCCGGACACTTAAGCAGCTAGATACTTACCTCGGTCTAGTAGGGTATCTCCGTACCAAAAATTTGGCGACCCGCTTAGATAGGCAGAGCTATATACGATAGGAAGACGGAGCTGCTTAAAGCTAGACCAACCAAGGGGTCCTAAAGGGAAGCTTTCTTACTAAGGATACTAGTCGAAAACCTGACGAGTACTGAGAAAGCTAGCTTCGATAATCTCTAAGCTGCGATACAATACGCCCTCGTTCATATGATAGACTTCTTCGACCCCCTCAGACAACTTTACGCCGAGACCGATAGTTCTAAGGACGAAGGCCACAGCGTAATGATCTTCCACGTGAAGAAAGGCTGGGCCTACACCGACACGAGAAAACCCCCTCTAGCCAACTTAGTCGAGCCGATCATGTTCCTAAGCCGACTCCTCTCCTCTGCCGAGTAGAACTACTGGCCGACCGAGCTAGAAGTAGCCTACCTAGTCGGGGTACTACAAAAATTAAGGCACCTGCTCCTCGCTGTGCCAGCCGACCATAGCGCTACGGTCAACATCGCCGTAAACACCAATTTACGCTCAGCGGCGACAGAGAACCAAAATCTCCGTTTGGTCAGGGCAGCCCAATTTATCCAGACATTCAGCTTGAAGGTCTACCACAGATCCGAAGCAACGAACAAAGTGGCGGACGCCCTCTCCAGACTCCGGAGCGAGGACAACGATTTAGACAGCTTTCCGCAGGGCATCGATGCTTTCCCGGCAACAACCCAGGAAGGCGAAGAAGAACCATCAAGCTCCGGAACAAACAGTACGGTCTTCACGGAACTTTCTAACGAGTTGAAAGAAAAAATCCAATCCGGGTACCAAGCCGACTCCAGATGGGACAAAGTCATTCAAACTCTACAGGAGGAGGAAGCCTCCGCAGATCCGATATCCACCAAAAACTGCCGTACAGACTAGACGACAACGGGTTGTTATATCTCACACATAACGACGGAACCGAAGCCCTCTGTCTCCCAAAATCCATGACAAAGGACATTTTCAGCTTGGTTCACGACCACAAAGCCCGCCAATGCTATGACAGCTGCTGGCAGAGAATGAAGGGGTTCTGGAATTAGGGCCTATCTGAGATCCTGAGCTGGTTTTGACTCGTTCTAGGCTGGGGATTCTGTTGCGCGGGGGCAAGCTGCTGTTGCTGCTGCTTGGCTTGGTACTGGTTTTGGTAATGACCTTGTTGCCAGGTTTGCCGCTGTTGATTTTGCCATCTTGGTGGAGGTAGGTGGAGATGGGTCTGGGGTTGGCTGGGAGCGAATGGTTACGCGTGGCCTGCCGATGTGGAGGACTGCTTCTCGACGGTGATGTTTGGGGTTGCACGGGTGGCGTTCATTGGGTCTGTGTGCTGGTGTCGTCTATGAAGCCGCGAGTAGAGAGGAAGCGGTCCATCTGAATGTCCCTTTAGACAGCAGCCAACGCATCAACTTGATCCTGAGTAATTGTCCCATCCCCAACAAGGCGCTGCAGAATCTCATGGCAAAATCTTTGGCAGTTATTGACAACAAGATCAAAGGGGCGGTTCTCCGCCGCTGCAATGCACAGCGCGTCAAGTTCGTCGTCGGTGAGATTAAGCCCAGTGGCGATTTCAACTGAGGCTTCAAGTGAACGCGAGGTTGCTGGGTTTATGTTATCCATCGGCTCGTAAGACTGAGCCTTTTTTCAGTATATTGGAGTTTGAGAATAAGATATAAGTGCATACCGTCGTCCCGCTCAGCAGGGAAGCCTTACTCGCATGAAAAAGGGTTCCGGTCGCTGCTGGGGCATCCCAGAGAAAGCTGCACAAATATTAGAATTAGAATTATTCAATATTGCTCCAAGCTTGAGACTTACAGAGCCCAATGAGCCGTGTCCTCGGGGAACCAGCGGGATTGATTGAAGCACAACAGAGTTGATGTTCTTGTCATGACAATCTAGCGAGCTTTGTCTTGTTGAGCAGTTAATCGCGTGATACGTGTAAGACGGAAGATTGTTCAGAAGTTTGGTAGAGAAGAGACGCGTCAAGAGGAAGAATGGATGGGGACAACTTGTAAGTAGGAGGGTCACGTAGCTGGGACTGACTAGAGCTTGGAGTTGTTTGTGTCCATCTGTCCAAGGCTTTGATATGTGCCTTCACTGTCACAATTATTTTGCCAAGTTCGAATTTTGCTGGCCTCCAAAGCTATAGTTTGATATTATTAAGATACAAAACTATTCCTAGTTGATACAATTTCCTAGAGTGTTGCAGTTTTCAATCCAAATACAATATGGGCCGAGTTTATGCTTTGGCCTTTCATGATTGGGACTCGTTCCTTCCCTTTCGGGCTCGCGAGTCACTTGCTCCTTCCCTCTCGAGGGAAGTCGTTCCTTCCTTGACAGTAAGCGAGCAGGCTTTGCCATGGGGGTATAAAATGTATAAAATTCCCGCCGTAGCTCTGCGTTCTGTTCTCTTTTCTTTTTCTTCTCTACGTTTAGTATTTCGTTAGAATGTACTCTTTCTTATCGAATTGACCTGATACGTAACATACTCCAAGCCTTACAGTACCCGAGATTAATATGAGCTGATTTGGAAAGAAAAATAGCAAAAGATGACAAAAACGGACTAAGCTTTTTATCAAATTACTGGCTCTATATGCGTTGGTTGATTCTCCCCTAGAACATCTTCCTTCATTACTGCTATCCTTTATCCTAAAACGAATATGGTTTCCTCAGCTATAGAACAATTTCAAAGCCTCTGGGCTGAGAGAGCGCTGCAACATTACCGGGATCTCTCCATCAACTTAGACAAGCGCCCTTATAAACTAGCCCTCCCCTAGGGCCACACTGGACAGGATCGTGGCCACGGGCCATGAGGACTTTGCCCAATACCATGAGCTGTTCAGACATGAAAACGCTAAGCTGGAGTAGTCGTGCTGCGTGGTGTTTTAGTCAGTTTGTATAATAGTATGAGCTTAGCTACCAGCCAGGCGATTCCGCTTCGCCCAAGTTCACCCAAAGGACAGAGTTTTTGTTTGAGATGTAACTAAGCGCTCGTTCTCTGAGTCTACGCATACATTAACGCTAATTCTAAATTCCATATTATTATAAGAAGCGATACGTGCGACTTTCTGATCGAAATTCAATATAAATCCCTCAGGCCCAAGGACGTCAATGCCAGCCGGGAGCTTGGCTTCGAGATCTTGGACGAGATAGGCCTCAATTGTCAGTTTGGCTGTTGCCTGTGGACCTATGAAGTAGACGTCCAACTCTATCCACTCGTTCGATATATATTGGGATTTTATGCCGCTGACCGAAATTGGTTTTGGCAGCATTGTGACTAGGGTATCTATCTTTTGAGCTACCCTGAGTCGATAAGAGTCATCACGCATCCGGAACCTAAATAAGCTGTAATGCATTGATCCTAAAGCTACTGTAGCCGTCGCATACCTCCAGGCACGAAAAGCGTATCCTGGGCTATGGGCTTTGACGCGGTTAGACTCATACAAGGGGAGGGAGCCGTCAAACAAAGCTGGGGCTACTTCTAAGGTCGTCCCAGCGGCCGGCGACTTACAGCCGTATAGATTTTTATAGAGATCATTACCAGATTCGAAGCTAAAGTCACAATTCAAACAGGTAACAGAGAGCTGGGGGTGGCAAAGCTGTGCCGTCGCCCGTAATATAGCCCCGGATCAACTTCACGTTCCGGGACGGGACCCTGCGGCGCGTGGTCTGGTTTGCATGTGACTTCCTTCTGACGTTAAATAGCAACTACTACTTCTCCTTCTCCTAAGAATCAACATCCTCTTCATTTAACAAACTTCAACTCACATAATCATGCTTGCCCGTCTTAAAAACATATTCACCCCCTCCACCAATCCTTCCGTACTTCTTGTTGTTGGCAAGTTTGGTGCTAGAATCCATGTTCTTCATCTTATACCCGAGGACGGCACCATCGAACGCTTTTGCCTCGTAATGCCATCTTCGTTTACTACCTTCCGCTACCGTGGAGCCAGAGAGCTATCGCGCGAGCAGATCGGCACAGTCACGCTTGACGTTGGAGATGGTGTGATTGGTAATACCTTCCTCGACGACGTTAAGACACGAATCTACAAGCTACAGAATGATTCCCTAAGCTCGAGCCCGGCGCAGCTACAGACAGGCAGTACTGAGGTAACTCAGCTCGTGCAAGACGTCCTTCGGCCCGTAGCACTCGATGCGATTCATGAAAGAGAGGGGCGAGATCGCTCTATGCGCGCGACAGAGACGTACCCTGTTTTTATTATTTACATCACACGCAGCCCAGGGAGGAGTTTTCTTGAGATGACAAGCTATCCTTAATGAGATTCCATCATGAAAGAGAGGCGAGATCGCTCTATAAGCGCGACACAGACTTACCCTGTTTTTGTTGTTTACATCATACGCCCGAGCGCAGGGAGACTGACTGAGCTGACAAGCTATCCTTAATGAGATTCCACCAGTTCTTTTGCTCAATATATGAATAGTAGTTGTAGTGATTTGAAATAACATTATATGCATCACAGCAATATATTGGCACAATTTTTATTTTGTATGTGGCTTGCTTTTTTACAATTCTGTATGAATAGAAGTAGTTGAGCATGTAGGTAGTGCAGCTAGTCAATAGAGTAATAGCATGCAATACTTAGTCTCTATATCAATAACCATTGAAGCCTTGACAATGAATAGTTCTCGTACTCAATGAACTATGAGGCAGAACTAGTCTTTTGTGAAACATCTGATAGGCCGGTTTCAAAAGTCCATTTGCAGTTATTGTCGTATCCCTGCGCGATTCTCTCAACATCGACGACAGCATCCCACGCCGCCAACGTCCTCCTATATCGTTCCTCTCCATCCTCGACATTGACAGCGTCCAGGTCTTCCTGGCGCCCAGCATCGCACTCGCAGCGCAAAACAGACCTCAGCACGTCTAGCAGTTCCCTCCTCCACCCAGGTTGATGGCCCCCGGACAGCCGTGCCGCGACGTACTCATAGTACGCGGGCATGATGTTGGCCATCTCCCAGTCCAGGAAACCCGTCACCGCGAGTGTGCACGGGTCCACGAGGATGTTCCGGTCAGACAAGTCCCCATGCGAGAGGACAGGACGGTCCCAATCACCTGGGCCGGTGGTGTCACGCTGTACTCGCTCAAGGGCGACTGCACGTTCCGCGTCCGGGTCAGAGGCCTGCAGCGCGCGGACGCGCGAGTCATCCCACTCTGAGCGGGAGGCGCAACATACATACGTCTCTGTGCCAAATTCGGAGAAGAGGACGTACGGCTGCCGCGTAGGCCGGCCGTAGTAAGAAAAGTGGTGCGTACGCATACGCACGAGGAGACGGCAGAGCTCCGCCTTGATGGTCTGGCGCTGTAGAAGGGTGAGAGAGGGCCAGAGCTCGACTAGCGGCGTGCCTGGCTGGCGAATGAGAACGACGCCCTGTTGGATGCGGTTGGGCGTCAAGGCGTTGGAGGTTATTATCGGAATCGTGACGACACAAATGACGCGTGGGACACAGAGGCCCAAGATGGAATGGGCGAGCGCGGTCATCTTGCCTTCGCCATCGTCAGCGCCCAGTTTGAGGATGGTAGAGGGAGAATGAATAAAAAACTGCCGTCCAATATTTAGAATAGTCGGCGCTGAGAACAGAGGGAGGCTGGGGAGAAAGGCCCAGTTCTCCCGAGGAAGCTGCTCTGGTTCCTGAGAGCTCTCGCCATCTAGTGTCATTTTGAGCGGCGATGCGTGGGGAGAAGTCCAGAGTATCAGGCAATATTAAGGGTTTACTTAGTTAAGTAACCTGGTGCTAAAGTGCGATGTCCTCTAAGATAATTGATTGATTGCGGAGCGAGCGAAGCAAGTATAAATCACAACGTCCTATGTACGTACGTATCACGTGGCTAAATTACTTATCTAGGCCCTTCTACGCATCACACCAGACTAATAATGAAGACAAGAGTTCTTTCTCGGTTGTAGCATTTGTCTTGTATATATTCTTATACAATAGCGACAGTCATTCATTCACGACTATCTCCAGCCAACAGATTGATTTCTTGCCGTACGAAGCAATCCCACGAGGAATTGACTGTCTAGCAATATTCAACCCAGGCATCGAGGTTCATGTTCTTGATGACAGTCGAGAACTTGCCGGCGTTGGCTGCGTTGCAGGCTGATGTCTTCAACGTAGAGGAGAGAACGGCTCTAGCTCGGAGCTTGTGGTGACCGTGTCCGTGCCCGTGTCGGTGTTTTTTCTCCTTAGTGGCATCGGTGCTAGCCTCTTCCTCGTCGTCTTCGCGTTCGTCATCTTCATCGTCTTCGTCGTCGTCTTCGTCATCATCGTTAGTGTCCGCATCAGTGCTGCTAGTATTGGTGTCATCGGCGGCTGTGCTGGTTGCAGCGGCAGCGGCAGCCGAGGTAGAAGAAGGTATGACAGCAACAGTGGCTGTTGCAGAGGCAGCGGCAGCTGAGGTAGAAGAAGGGATGACAGCGATAGTGGCAGTGGCAGTGGCGGTAGACTTGCTATCAGTGGAAGTCTTGGTGGCAGTATCAGAAGTATCGTCAGAGCCGTCCGACTCAATAGTCTCGTCGGAATATTCAATATGGAAAACAGACTCATATCTTATCAATAGATGAATTGCCGCAGGACTGCTCGTTGTATGATGCTATCCTAAGCCGCCTACTATTCATGTTCGTCGACGTGATTTGCTGTTTTGCAGATGATCTTGGAGGCCTTGATGCCGTACGTGATATCTTATCAGTATGGGTGCGTATCGGATCGGGGTCTTCACGCTACAAGCTTGTTTATCATCTAGGAAAGTGGCTATATCGGCAAGTGAGATCAAGGCAGGTACACCGTTTATATTCTCATATTATAACGGCGCAGCACCCCACAGAGTCCAATCAGGTCTGTTATCTAAAATTGTTCTCATTAAGCTAAAAATTATACTAGGATCTTTATAGCATACGGTAGGCTTAGACCTGACAGCGAGAGTGAACCATTTGTCTAGTAAGTAAGGTAGGACACAGGTTCGGAAGGCTACGAAATCTAGAAAAGCACAGATCATAAGAGAGAGGTTGAAGAGATGTGCGACTAGAACTATATTAGCGTGGATCCCTGAATCATCACGCCAACTCGGGCCACACGCAACAAAATGTCCCCTAGGTTGGCAAGTATTGCGCCTTAGTATCTGAGAACATAAGAACCATAAGCTGTACTACCCTAATATAACTTAGTTAGATCTTATATTAAAGTGGATTCAGAATGGAAAATCACCTCAGAGGCACTGGGTAATTAGCTGTGAAATTTCTGGTTCCACTTGCAATAATAAAGGACTATCCCGGTCAGTGAACGACCTCTCTAGGGCTACATAGCAGCTATAGAGAATGGGTATAATATATAATCTTATTTGGTTTCCTCCATTTCATTTGCAGCACATTAAAAGATCTTTGCCGCTCCCTAGTAATATGGGTATTGAATATTAAGGTTAAGTTCTCCCAGGTCTTGTGGCAGTAAGCTTGATGGGGGAAGAAGATGATACTATTATGACCCCTCTGGTGGGGGTGCCATGGCTAAACTATGACTAAGCAGGCTAGGCCTGTGACAGGTCTTATATGGAAATTGAGCGCGGAGTGAGACTAGTAAGCTCACCTCAGAAGGTGACCATTTTATTATAACTTTAGGAGGAAACTGGTTAGAACTTATCGTTAAAGTACCTAGGTAGGCGCCCTTGATTATAAATCGCTGGACTCGTTATAGGTATCTGTACAGTCAAGGTACCAGTAAAGGAAACCTTCGATAACTCTGAGAGTTATATTCTTCAGCTAGTATTAAGGGTCTAGTGGGATAAGGCGTTAGATAAAACTATATTATTAGTAATAGCTGGGAGAAAATCTAATAAAGCAAGATTAACTAGGATAAACCTACTTTTTGAAGTTGCGATCTATATATCCTGTCACGATTGGCACTTGCGGGACTCGTACTTTCCCGTTTGGGATTGTACCGTTGGTCGTTCCTTCCCGTTCGAAGGAACTCATTTGCGCAGACAGTCGTACCTTCCTTCTGGGAGAAGCGAGGATAGGGCTTTGTCCCCGAAGGGATATAAAGACCCATTTGTTGTTTTGCGTTTGTTTTCTTTTCTTTTCTTTCTTCATACTTGATATTCGGTTAGCAATGCACTTCTTCTGCTAGAAATAACCTGGCACGTAACATATCCTACGGATTTCAGTATAGAATCGGTAAAATCCGCGTTAACTTCCGGATCTTCTTATTAGATGAATAACATCCAATCGGTTTTATTAAGCTTAGCTTCACTTTTCTTCGGCATTTTGCCGGTAGTATAGTTCAATGTTATTAGAAAGTAGAACGGCCACGCCGAAGATATGGAATTGTTTAGGGATGATATCTGAACGAGGACTTAGACTGCCTTTATATCTTTTATCCATAATGTACGCGCTGAGGGCGTTGATGTATGATGAATACTTACTCCTGTAAGGGCGCTAAACCTAATAGTATTATATTCAATGCTCTAACGTGAGCGCTAGGTGAAAGGACCACGATTTCCCCTCGAAAGACCACACACAAATGTTGTCTTTTCGCCGTCACCCCGACTTACTCCATACTATACAGTGGAGTACCCGTGACGTGCATATGGTGAACCTCGGAACCGCGGTTTAACCGCCGTTATCTCTTATCGTACTCCCCTATCGACAATCTGTCACGTGTGGCCTTAATCCAGGTGGCCTGAAAGTAACCGTTACACTTCCAACTATCTACGCTCAGCGATGCCAGGGGATGAGTTGTCAGAGGATCACCTGTATGCCCGGAATGGCCAGGATGAACATGAAGCCCAATCCCTCCTGTCTGCTTCAAGCGAGGAGCATGACCTAGCTCTCCATCCGGAGCCTCTTCCGTCGCCGATCCCCTCACATAACGCGACAAGTAGCATATCCCACTCCGCGATTTCTCAACCTGCAACCGACGGAAAGCGCCGTACACCCCGTACCATGAACCGAGTTCGATTCGACCTGGACGAAGAACCTGAAAACAATCGCATTTCCATTGAGCGTACTCTCAGCCCGGACGACAGTCCAGATGACACACTATGGCTGGAGGACGAGGACTATGAACTTGGAAACCGAGGCCCAGGGACACACCACAGTGGACAATCAATTCCTCTTCTCACAAATATCGAAGCGCCTAGTGTGACACTTGCAACGTCGGACGATTTCTTCCCCGAAGATCATCTCGAAAATGCGCGGCCGCGGAGTGGGATGAAAATGGCGTTCATGAACATGGCCAACAGCATTATCGGCGCTGGGATTATTGGGCAACCTTACGCGCTCCGTCAAGCAGGCATGGCGATGGGAATTGTGCTGCTGACTGCCTTGACCGTCACAGTGGACTGGACTATTCGATTGATTGTGGTCAACTCTAAATTGAGTGGGGCGGATTCCTTTCAGGCAACTATGCAGCATTGCTTCGGGAAGAGTGGTCTCATCGCGATCTCAGTTGCACAGTGGGCATTTGCATTCGGTGGCATGGTCGCATTTTGCATTATTGTTGGCGATACCATTCCACACGTTCTAGGCGCTTTATTTCCGTCTCTTAAGGATATGGCCTTCCTCTGGCTTTTCACAGACCGCAGGGCGGTTATCGTTATTTTCGTTTTGGTAGTTTCATACCCATTGTCCTTGTATAGAGACATTGCTAAGGTCAGCTCGTTCCTTCCTTACTATTTATCATAGACTAACAGTCAGATAGCTGGCAAAAGCATCCGCCTTGGCATTTGTTAGCATGATAGTCATTGTCGTCACAGTCATCACCCAGGGCTTTCGGGTCCCGCCTGAATCGCGTGGAGAGATCAAAAGCCACCTCGTATTCAACACTGGCTTTTTTCAGGCTGTCGGGGTCATTTCTTTTGGTAAGTTTTAGCTGCCCTGTCAATACTTGGAAAGCTTCTAACAATTTCCAGCTTTCGTTTGTCGTATGTTCCTTTTTATCCTACTGATATCCCAACCACTAATTTCCACAGACCACAACAGTCTTCTGATCTATGGCTCACTGAAAAAGCCGACACTCGACCGTTTCGCCCGAGTCACACATTACTCGACAGGAATATCTCTGGTGATGTGTCTAGCAATGGGTATCGCAGGGTTTCTGTCGTTCGGGTCTAAAACCCAGGGCAACGTTCTGAACAACTTCCCATCAGACAATATCGTTGTCAATATCGCACGATTGTACAATCTTCCCATTGATATTGATATAGAGATTCTTGACTGACTTCTATTAGCTGCTTTGGCTTGAACATGTTGACCACGCTACCGCTCGAGGCGTTCGTCTGCCGTTCCGTCATGACAACCTACTATTTCCCCGACGAACCACACAACACGGTTCGGCATATTATCTTCACAACGGCGCTGGTGGTGACTTCGATGGTGTTGTCCTTGATAACCTGCGATCTGGGAAGTGTATTTGAGCTCATTGGCGCGACTAGTGCTGCTGCTCTGGCTTATATATTCCCTCCTCTCTGTTACATCAAGCTTAGCAGTGCTACGCGGCGAGAGAAGATCCCAGCATACCTATGTATTTGTTTTGGTGTGCTTGTGATGGGTGTCAGTGTAGTGCAGGCGGTCATCAAGATCATTCGAAGTAAGTGTGTCCCGGAAGATGGTTGCAATTGGACCCAGTTGATAGCTATTTGGTCGCATCCTCCGCAAATATACTAACATTGAAATTTGCAGATGATGGCGAGGCCCATAGTTGCAGTGCACGTTAGAGGGAAGGGATTCCTCAAGGACTTTCCACAGATAGCGGCGACTTGTACTCTCGGTGTGCTCGAAAAGCCTCTTGGAGCCGTGTTGCTATGTATATATGTATCCATTTTGAACAAATAGCTGTTTCCTATCATACCCTACAACATTCTCCTTCACAAATGGCTACGTGCCGTTTTTATGTAGAAATGGATTGCGACGTCTCAAGATAGCTAGCAGGTAGTTTGATAGATACTGTGTGCCCAGGTGAGCAGTATGTATATACTGTGCAGTTAGACTAAGTACGGTGAAGTATATTCTAGGCACGTGCACTTTGTGATTTAGGTATCGCAATCCGTCTGCTTCGTTTCTCATTTTCTACTACTCCGCTCACTCTCTACATCCCCAAACACCACGATGATTATTAATGTCATTCTAACGTATATCTATAGGACTTTACTATGACGTGTATACGTGACTCGCACGTGGCCATCTCGCACGTGGCCATGCCAGATCCTAAGGCCAAAAGACTTCCACAGAAGGTGCGATGGACAATCCGCGCAACATCAAGAACACACTATGCAGCCTCGTTGCTACCCAAAGGAGCGATACCCTCATATGTTTGTGCGTTCACGCATGCGTCTTTGATCCAACTGGCTCTGATCGTTCCTTTATTTACCTCCCTGCCGTCTTCTCTCTTTCTTCCTTCTACAACCACTCTCTCCCTGTTTTTCTCTTCACTTCTTCTCTCGTCTGGAGCGGCTCTCACAGTTCTCATCTCGGGTGCTTTGCTCAAATCTGCTTGTCCGTCTCTGTTTCTTTCGCTCCACAGAGTCCCAAGTCCTCGGAGTATCCCCATTGGTCGCCTGTCCCTTAGGGACCTTGCTTGTGCTTCTCAAGCTTCATTTTATCTTTGTCCTTCTTTCGAAGCCTCCAAGGTTGCTTTGACCTGCAGGGACGTTCTCTCTGGGATACACCATCGCCCACGCTTTAACCTTCCCTCCCACTCACTCCTCTCTTACCTTCGCGCTTTGGCCAACCGAGGCATAGTACTAAGCCGGTAACACGTTGACAACGACGTGTCGCATAAGTGCATCTAATATCCTCATTACCGTTGTTCACATTTCACCCGCCACGGGAAGTGCACCGGCAAGATGAGCGAGTCCGCGGAGCAGCTCCGCCAGATGCAACTGCTTCAAATGGTAATATCTAGCCTCTCACTCCTATCTAGCTTCCCTAACTGACTGAATCAATAGGCGGACCTAGGAACCGCTCGGCGTGAAATGATTTCCACAGACGAGATCAGGAAACAGGCTCGTGTCCACATTGCCGATATCGAATCCAAGCGACGGCTTGATCAGAGAGATGAAGCTCAATTGAGCAAATGGGCAAGTAAGTACTGAGAAAGAAACGCCCTTGAGCCCCTCTAGGATTTTACTAATCTTTGTCGCAGATTTGCATGCTGAGATCGGAGATACTAGTGGAATGGAGGAACTCGATGACATAGAATGCGGCCAGTCCCACCGAGCTAATTTGCACGCGATGTTGCACCCCAGTGGAGGTCAGCCGCAAACCTACGCAAACCACCTTTACCCAACTCCATCTGCAGGTCGCGGTGGTGGTGTTATGGGAAAGAGAGGACGAGGTGGTTTTGCTCCTCTCCCCAGGGGACCTACTAATCTTCCCCCAATCCCTCCAAGGTAAGAAATTGATTTACCCCGACATTTCAGACATCCAAATTGACGGTGAATAACTCGCAGACCCTCCTTTCATGGAAATGTTACACTTCCAGGACTCCCAGGACCGCGCGGTCGCTCGGCTACAATGTCGGCCAGCATTCATTTGGACCCTGCGTTAAACTGCAACAACGATGACAGCGATGCTCGAGATCGAGGAAGGGGACGTGGGCGAGGCAGAGGCAGAGGAAGGGGCAACGCCCAAGAACAGGTTCACAGTACGTTTTGATCACGGGTACAGAAATAGAACACAGCTAACAATATTCTTAGTGCCGCCTTCCGCCATCAGGCCTCATCGGGCATCTCCAGCGTAAGTGATCCGGCTTCTTTCTCTTGGTGAGATTAAGATGCTAACTTCTTGGCCAGCGTCAACTTCGCCACTAAAATCTCTGAGCCCGGGGACTTCATGTCCTTATTTCAGTCCCGCCGGGCAACTGAAACGTACAAGAAGCCTACCGATACAATCGTCTCTGCTCCAATTCCGAAGACTACATCTTCGCAGGAATCCATTCCACCCAATGTGCCAAGGGTGAAAATGCCTCCGAGCGATACACCCAAGAAGAAAAAGGCGAACATTCTTCCAGTTGCGAAGCCTGCATCATCGCCAGTGGCAACATCGACAACGCCATCTCGGGTTGTTCCTATTGAGACGACTACATCGTTCCAACCCTCCACGGCCCAGGCTACTACTGGAACCAAGAAATCTCAGCCACATATTGGACCCTATGAGGTGGAGACGCCCTCACGGTCAGCCCGTGTTGTTCCTCTTGAGAGGACCGCATCCTTCAAAACCCGCAAGGCCCAGCCTGATACACCCAAATCTTCTCAGCCACGTAATAAACTCCCTCCAGTGGAAGAACCCACCCCACCCCCACCCCATTCGGTTTCTGTTTCTGTCAAACAAGGCGGCAAGCCCAAAAAGGCGAAACACATGGTGACGGATTCTCAGCCTCTTCCAGCAATGGTCGCAACTGCCACGGATAAAATTCAATGGAAGGTTTTGCCTGGCGAAGAGCCACGAAAGAAGAGCACGGCTCCTCCAAGCAAGACGGCAGTCTCATTGGAAAACTCTATGCCCCTCGCTGAGGCCAAGAAGACACCCGTCACCAAGGTCACTCAACTCAAAGACAGCAAGCAGAATGTTCAGATGGAGGAAACCAAGCATAAACCCCAATCTCATGATCTTCTTAGCGATGACACTCCGGTTATGACAACCCCTCGCCATTTCAATACAGTGGCCATCAAGCCACCCGTCGTCAAGGTCACTCGACTCAAAGACAGCAAGCAGAATGTTCAGATGGAGGAAACCAAGCATAAACCCCAATATCATGATCTTCTTAGCGACGATGACGCCCCGGTCAATTCAACAATGATAACCCCTCACCATATGAACACAATGGCCGTCCACAGTCCAGGTGCTGCAGAATTGGCAGGTCTGAAGTTTGCCGAGAAGGTCGGAGAGTCGGTGCCATCCAAGAGCATTGACGGAGTCATTGCCCCTAAAACAACGATCAATGATTCAAGTCGAGAACTTGACGGCTTCGGTCTATATGGTCCGAAAATTATTGAAGAACTTCGCGACATTCGCAAACACATTCGTTCGCCCCAAGAGTTGGCTACTGCACATGATATCGAACGCATACTGGAATCTAAATTGCTTCAGTTGATTCCTGAAGCACCTCCACCGCCTACAGCACCTGCATCATCGGATATAGAAGGTCGGCTGGGGAATCTGCTTGCACTTGTGGAATATCTTTCCGCATCGCAGCAAGGAACTAACGCTGTTGAAATTTCTTCGACTGCCCGGCGCGATATTACTCCATTTGACGGGCACCGATCGCCGCCTCCCCCTTCGTCTAGTTCAAACTCACCCCCGTCTGCCGATAAACGCGCGCGCAAGGTACATGTGCCCGGCCTCTCGCCAACCAATAGTGAGAGTTCCGACGTAATTTCACAGTTCGAGACTCTTCAGGTTTCGGACAAACTCGCCGCGCCCCTCCAACCGCAGCGTGTGGTCCCAGTCCCAGCTCTTCGTCCGCTGAGAATTCCGAAGAAGGCTACTACATCCGATATGTCCGTTCAGGCTACTCCTGCTCTGGGATCACGTGCAAAGGAATCAACGAAAAAGCCACAGACTCTGAACGATTCGATCTTTGCAGGATCTGTACCCCTTGTCACTCCCAATGCTAACGTTATTGAACCTAATGCGGTGCGTTCCCAGACCACTGGTCGGGTGTTGAGCGCAAACCATCCAAACATTCCCAAGCACCAGGATTTCCAGGCAACGGGCGCTCGTACAATCGGCCCTGCGCCATACAAACCCCGCGTGATTGGACCTGCACCCTCTGCCTATGAGCCAACCACGTTGCGCGATGTGCCAACAGCCCACATTCGTACTGTTTCCGTTCAGCATGCTAACACTGAGAATCGGCCCTCCTTGGATGTTGCAAACCGTGCTTCGACCTCCATGGGTTACTTCAATGGCCCAGCTTCCCAGCAAGCTCCGGGTGAACTGTTCTCCATGCCTGACCCTGCGACGATTCTCCAGCCCAAAGCGAAGGCGGCTGGTTTCTTCACTTCCAACCAATCTCGCCGCTAACTAGTTAATGGCTTCTGTTTTCCAGAGTCTGAGTTTCAGTGGATTTCTTCTTCTACTAGCCTCAGCCAGCTCTGATCATCTATGGTCTCTACTTCAGTTTCATTTTCGTCTTTTCTATGGCCTTGTTGAGCTTTGAGATCTTTGCTTTCCCTGGCTGAATGGTTCCTATTTCAGTTGTTCAATTGTTCAAAAGCGAAAGGTCAATGATCGTTTAACGGGTCTTGCGTGATTATCAGATAGTTGAAGCTCTAATCAACTAATTGTTGTTTTTTTCATCACTTGATGTGAATGTAGGTAGTTCATTAGGGATATGAGCCGTTGAGTCAGACATGCAATAATGCAGAGGAAGAAAGTAAAGTGCTGTAAACATGACCTATCACTACGTAGGTACTCTATCATCATACAGCGCAAAATTACCTCGCTACAAAGAAAAGAAAAAGCAAACACGTTTCAGATTAAACATCCGCCTAGACTATTGCACCCAACCCGAAATAAAGAAGACCTACTTCCGAGGTGGACAAGTTCGGTATATCCGATCTGCATTAGTCGGGGAACATGCCTCCCGTTCCGGTCATTTCTAGGACTTTTGCACTCGAACAGACCTGTCACAGTACTTTCTTTTTCTTCTTTCTTTTCTTTTTGATGCACTGCTCCTCAATGCAGACACAGCGGTCAGGAACGGAACCCGGAAGTTCAATCGGGGAAGACAAAGCGACATCCGGTGCAAAGTACATAATGGCCAAAGTACATAATGGCCAAAGTACGTAACGGTATATATTGATATCGACATGTAGACTTGACGAGGTGTGATTTGCACGGTCTTTAAAGAACTAGCCTTTGCTATTTGTGATATGTTGAACTTGTAGTATGGCTCTATAGCATGACGTATCAAAATCCTAGGGTTGATTCTATAATGGCATATAGATGGTCTTGTGGAGATCTAGTTATACCCTGTCACCGAATTATCCCATCTAGATATCTTAACTCAATTGGATTCAGTCAGGCACGGCTCTGATGGGTTGGATATAAGATTACTTGCCTTCGAAGCTATATGATCCACGCCTATACGGCTGCTGTACATCTTGGCCATATGATCTTTTCCAAGTAGGGATGTTGATCATGATTCCCTAGAGAGATTACGTTAGAAAATATCATCAAATTTTACTAGAGCCTCTTACTTGTGTAACTGTCGAGTCTGTGGTATGCCCTCGCTCTCGATGAACCCTGGAGTATAGAAAAACAGAGGCCAGAGCGAAGAAGACGAGACTGAGACCGGCAGCAATAGTGTTTGCTGCTCGAAAACCGGTCCAGGTAAGACCAATCAAGGAAGTCATCTTTACTCGAATAGTATCCATGAGCAGTGTAGTTTGACAATGAAGAGCGATATTATGTCTCGATAAACGTGGATTCATTCTTCTTTAAATATACTCCCATCATGATATGTGACAATCACCTTCGCACAAGTAACAAGTCAGTAGCCCTAGTCTACTACTACCCATCTCGGACAGTGCAGGATATCAATATCCTCCAGGCACCACAAAAGCAAGAAGCCGGAGCATAGACGCCGATCAGTCAACTCGTGGCCTCTACCGATCATCACTCGGAGTGTGTAATGCAAAGAAGAAAAGAAAAACAACATTAATAAAAACAAATTGCAAAAAGCAAAGAAAGTAAAAAAAAGCAAAAATACCAAATCGCGCCGCATCCTTGAGAAATTATGCCGGCTAGAATTCCACCGTCCTGCAGGCACCGCCAAGAAAATCGAGAACTGTTCATTGGGCCTTAGACCTTGTGTTTCCTGAGCTGATGCACCAATCCGTTAATGCCAGCGTACCGACAACGCGGGCTATGGGAACTGCTATCCGGTGCCGCGGGCTGGCCCTTACCCATGCACATATATATGCATAGGGGAACACCCGGGTGTTTCTTGTGGTTCGTGTCTATCAGGGTCTAGATACTTGCTGTCATCTGCGATTGGTTCTGGATTCGTTCGGGACTTTCCCGCTAGCCTTCGAAGCACGGCGGGAGTAGGGACAGAAGGTCCCGGTAGACGTTCTGGTTCTGCTTGCCTTTGGCATCAGGCTTAGGGCCAGATTTTCCAATCCCTGTTCGTAATTTTGTATCGAAATGATGTCAATTTTGTTATGATTGGTATTTCTGCGGATCAACATAAGCCTGTGGTCTAAGCCTGCCATTGTGTTCCTGAAGTCCTGCATGCTCCAGATTCGGTTTAGGATAACAAAATAGAATATGCTAATGTGAAGGAATGTATCGATAATCAGTATCCCCGTCCGGTTTCCCCGAATAGGATCCTGTGGGTCCATTTGCTTCGAAGACTCCGGAAGGCCTGTCATACTTCCCCGCCGTGATAACCATATTATGGCGCCGTAGGCCAGAGGTGAAGCTAAAACGAAATTTCGATGAAATAGGAACGCTTGTAGTTGAAATTGCGCATTGATGCACTCTCTCGGGTCCGAAAGACAAATCAGATCATGTTCATTACTGGGCTAGTGGGCGAGGCCCAGAAGAAGGCCCAGGGTCAGCACCTGAGACTCGAGGCCGTTTTGGGTCGTTTGGACCCAGTGCCGGGACCCCTTGATGTGCGCCAGCTGTTCCATCGGCATTGGTGACGTCCACTAATGGAGGCCGTTTTCCGTTGAGGTTATTCTGGGGTGGCATACTGCCTCGGTTCATCATGGCAGGGTTGGAAACGTTCCTTTGGTCAAGGTTGGGCCGGGTCAATGGTCGATACGATGAGACAGAAGGGCCTCTGCCGACCGGACTGCTAACCCCACCACCAGGAGCACCGATTCTGCGCTGCAGATCCGTTGCGGGATTGACAAAATCGCGTGTTGCATTATTTTTATTAATGGTGGGTGCTGGGGAGGCGCTCGACAGCATCGGCCTAGGAATAGGAATGCTTTTGCTGTGGTCTACACCAGCGGTTTTGCGGATGGAGGGACTCTCAGCATGTGGATCGAATTGAGGTACGCCCGACGGGACGGAGTTTGGATTTTCACGGAGAAGGTCCACTGCTCTTGCAGAAAAGAAACCCGTTGACGGTGTGCCTTGCGGTGGTGGGTTCATGTCCTCGGTTTTCTGAAAGCCGCCGGGGCCGGTTTCCTTTTGAGTCGGAGGCTGGACGATGTTTTTGTGTGGAGGATGCTGACCAACTGGTTGCTGTGGTGGGACTGATGGTCTAGGGTTCGCAAGATTTTGAGCAGGACCTTGAGCGGCCATTGGTCGACCTTGTACCGCAGCTGGAGACGGCATAGTAGATTGGTTCTGTCGCACATTTGAGGGATTAGGTCGTCCTGCTTGGCCCGCGCCGTTCCATCGCTCTGGTTTTGATGGTGTTACAACAGCGGGGTTAAATCCTGCTCGAACAGGCGGTCCTCGCTGAGGCGCTGGACCGTTCGTTGGCACGGTACGCTGCTGTTCTCGAAGAATCTCTGTGTCTATTACGATCTCATCAGGATTGCCCATATCGGTATCAGCTACCCCGAAATCGGCTTCATCAAAGAGGTCACCTAAAAATCATTAGCCGGAGTTCAACCTTATGTATTCTAATACATACTGCCAAACTCTCCATCTCCATCAAAAGAAACATTATTCCCAGAATTATTTCCTCTCGCTTGATGTGGCGGACCAGGGAGGGGTAGATCATCCTCTTCGGGTACTTGCTTGGGTGGAGGCAGCGGTTTCTTAAGTGGCGCGAAGTCCGGGTGACGGTGGAGATTTTCAACGTCCCATCGTCCCTATTTTGATAGTCAGCTGGCACATCGCAAGTTGGAGGACATCGGGGACCTTACAGGCGCTGCCTTGACTTTGGTCACCTTGGCCACATAATCTTTGTCATAGATACAGTTACCTAGCACGTTGCCAAAGTTCCTCAATGCACGTTTCAAAGCATCTGTTGTGCCTTCTTTCTTGGCCTTCTCAAACGCTGCGGCCTTGCCTTTGCAGTTCTCGATATGTCCGTAGCCAATATCCTAGAAGAGGGCTGGAGTTAGCACAAGGCCCACGAGAATTCATATCACGAATATGTTCCTTTACCTCATGAAATGTTCCATCTCTCAAGGTCACTCTCATGATGACTGAAAGTCCCAGGCTGATCTTGCCTGTGTTCTGATTTTCCTCAACCTGATAAGCGTTAGTCAATCCCTATGTGATGTAGTTGATAAACATAAGATCAACGCACAAAATCAATCTGAATCGTCTGAATCGAACTGGACCAGCCATTGAATCCAAACACTTCATTCGCGAGATTAATGCATTTGTCCGCGGAGAGATAGTGCACTTTTTGCCCCGCTGCACCAGGTCGCGCAGAGATGTATTCGGGTCCCAATTTCTTATCAAGACGCGCTTGTAGTGTTGCAATTTCCTGTGCGGTGTATTCACTGATGCGGCGTTGGGGTTCCTCAAATGGGTTTGCTTTAGCGGCTCCTGTAGCGTTCGGCATCATTATAGATCCTGCATTACCCCGATGCTGGTCACCAACGCTGAGATTATCACTATCAGTGCTCGGTTCCATGGGGTATAGTATTTCGGGTCCGGGGTATTGGTCTCACGCTGGCATGTTTTGTTGTGAATGAGTGTCGAGTTTGATATTAGAGATGTACTGGCGTGTCGGGCGCGTTGTCTTGAGGCACCAGGACGCGGCTCATCGCGATATCACATGATGATAACGCGATAAGATAAAGATTAGAGCTTCAGTAAACAAAACACTGATAATTGATATTAAGGATAGTTGGAGATTATTAGGTATGTGGTTCACATATGGAAGCTACCATTCGGGGTTTCATCATTTCTCATTCTTTGCAAAAGCTATCTATCCCTTCGGATGAGGAAGGGTATGCCATAAATCATTGGATGACGAGACTGGCACTGGGCACAAGTCCTAGTTCCTTCAAAGTCTCGCCGAAAAACTCATTATCAAATATCTTCTTGGGGAAAGTCTGCACGAAGCTCTGGACCTCGATCCCATCCTGTTCCCTCAATGCGGCCGCAACCTCAAACAACGTGGTGTCGACGGGCAATGTCTTCATGACGTTACCCTTGGATGACTGGAATCGCAGTCGAGTTTCGGTATAGGCAGAGGCAGGTTTAGACGTAGTGGGACCGGAGGAAGTGGGTGCTGGAGCGGCAGCAGGCTGGGGAGGAGGAGCCACACCGGCACGCTCAGCTCGCTGCTTCTCGGCCTTCAATCGACGCTCCTCCTTGTCGGCCTCGATTTTCGCCTTGATACGTTTTTTGGCATCGATTTCATCCTGCTTCTCCTTCTTCTTCTTGGCTGCCTCCTTCAACTGTTGCTTCCGCTCGAGTTCCTCCTTAGCATCTTGACTTTCCTTGGTGCTCTTCCTTCGGATTTCCTAATAATAAAAGTGAGCAAAATACCTCAATCGACCAAAATCAGGAATACACACCTCATTCTTCTTCTTGTCAATCTTGTCCTGGTCCGAGAGCCCTGCGCGCTTCGCCGCAAGCTTCTCCCGCAGCTCTGTCAGTCTCTGCTTCTTCTGCTCCTCTGTCAAGGGAGCAATCTCCTCCGTAGACTCAGCAAAATCAACATGTCCCGACTTTGATGCGTGGAACTCGGCCTGTGACTGGCCTCGGAACTTCTTGCCACACTCGTTGCATACTAAGCTGCGTGGTTGTTCGCCTGGTTGAAGCGCAGGGTTCTCTTCGTCTTGTGCTGCTTTCGTTTGTGCCTTAATCTCCTCCAATGACTTGTCTTGGTTGTCCTCAAGCCACTGTAGTGCACCTTGCACTGTTAAGTCAGTTAGCAGATACCCAACTATAGATACTGGGGAAACAAAAACTTACAGCCACCAGTCTTCGTCACTGCGAGCTGGGCGCGCTCCTTGTCAAAGCCCATTTCAATGAGCTGATCCAAGTCCGATGCCATGACGGCTGTTGGGACGTGATAAAGATGTAAATGTAAATGTAGGACGCGCTCGAAAAATGAGCGCAATTTGGCAAGATTGAATCAGATAGGTGGTTCAGATGTGAGTTAGGTCGCGAGAACAGAGTGGGTGACGTATCAGAAAGGCGGCGAGCGATAAGGCCCACTTACCTTCCCCGGGTTTCTATGGCATCAAGTTCTTCTTGATGGCGTGTTTTGAGGGATAGTTCGATACTTGTACGCCATTGAAAGGGTGATAATGCCAATTTCATGTTTCTATGATATTTTCGACTTGTACTACCTATGCACACGTGTCGTAGTTATCTATTTAAATTTAGGTGGCTGTGTGGCTTATAGAGCCGAATAAACATGCAACTTGAATATAGTGTTGTGCAAGATGTATGTATTTGGCGAAAACCTTCAAGTAACATATAAAATGTAAAATCAGGCTAAACGGAATACGAACATGTATATATAGGGAGGGACTAGCATCATATAAACCGAAAGATATATCTGCTAAGGATGCGTGTGCTACGAGATAACTGCATTGAAGACATTTTATATATTACTATATTTCAGCCTCCGAGACAGAAGATATAGACTACAATATGTTAGCAAGTGACGTCTATTAACATACGAGGTCGAAGCCAGCGCCAAGGGATATGATCGCATACCTCAATAGCATAGCTCCATGCATGGCAACCAGGGAAATAAGGCATATATACAGGCTGATCCCAGTAGAAAGTTCAGTGACCAATGAGCAACCAATATGACGAAATATATACAATTTAAACACAAGTGGGATTTGACCCCACTGCAAGTATCATATGCGGGTGAAGATGTCCATCTGAGGATGCAAGGATATAAGAGCATATTAGAAAAGAGTGGTCGAACTAGATATATACTTCTCATAGCCAATATGCCAGTAGAATAATTAAACACGAAGAAGGAACTTGCAATGTGGTTATAGCCTACTCCGTAGAGCTTGTCAATAGTGACATCACCTGACTGTTTGCTGTTTGCTGACTCATCTAATTTCCCCGTGCCTAGGTGGACAGTAATCAAACTCCTGAGGCATCTTAGACCTGATAACTCCCTAACGCCTTTATTCCCAATCGGAACCTAATCGCGTGCAATCATCCACGCCCTTGTCATCTTTGTTCCCTTCTCCCACCTCTGTCACCCCGACCACGTGCATCATGACCATCCAAATCGAGCCCTCCGAGTTGGGCTTCAAGCGTGAGTGCTAGACCCCGAACCTGTAGACCTGCCTAGATCACATCTCATCGGTTGATAACAGGTCCCTTCAATCATGAAGTATGCCAGGTTCTCCGCCTGAGCAACCCGAATGAGGAATCTGTGGTCTTCAAGGTATGTGTGACAAACCCCCTCCCTTGATCTTTGTCGCAGTACTAACATGTGTCCTCGGCGCACTAGGTCAAAACCACCGCTCCTAAGCAGTATGTCCCGACGATTGTCTGCGCAATGCCTATACTCGAGTTTTTTTATCTGATCATATTGTAGTTACTGTGTGCGACCTAACTCCGGCCACATCGAACCTGGCAAAACTGTCGAAGTCCAAGGTTAGTCGATAAGCGAGTACGCCTGAATTTTGCGGCGGGCTAATATTATCCACAGTGTTGCTTCAGGCTATGAAAGAGGACCCTGCTCCGGATGCCAAGTGCAAGGATAAGTTCCTAGTGCAGGCCGTCCCGGTCTCACGTGGATTGGAGGATGCCAGCGTTGGCCAGATTGTATGTCCAGAGTCCAGCATGGAGAACACGAAGATCAATAACTAATATTACATTTAGTTCGACCAAACTCCCAAGGGCGACGTGGTTGAGCGCAAGATTCGAGTTGTCTACCTAGCAACAGATGCCACTTCAGCCAACGAATCGGTATTCTCCCCAGCAATCACTTCTTTATACACATAGTCTAACTTTCACCAGGTGCATGATGAGGAACCTCCATCGTACATTTCTCCTGCCGGCGCAAATTTCCAGACCCCGGCCCCCAAGAAGATTGACTCCGCTGAACCGTCCCCAATTCCTGCTCCCAATTTCTCCGAGAAGAAGTCCCAGTCTCCCCAGCGCGAGCCGCAATCTGCTATTTCAACTGCCAGGTCTGCCGTGGGAAGTGCTATTCCCTCAACCGACGAACTCAAGTCCCAGCTGTCCGAAGCCAACGCACAGATCCAACGACTGAAAGACCGACTTGCGGATCAAGGACTGCGGCAGCGGAAGACCGGCGGAGAGGCTACCGGTAAAGCTGTGCCTGCTACCATGCAGCAGTCACATGCGCCAACGGCGAGTGGAGTTTCCATCCAGGCTGTGGCATCTCTCTGTCTGCTCAGCTTCTTGATCGCATACTTCTTCTTCTAGTCTGGTCTTCTGTTTCTCGCTTTCTCGCGGTCTATCTGGCTTCATTGCACCTACTCTCCGCGTACTAAATGCCTCCCGTCTAACGTCGCCGACGCCCGTCCCAAATTCCCATCTACTTTTTGTCTCTTGAAGAGAGCATGCCGTTTTCTATCTGTTCTAGCATCAGCCTTTTTATGCGTTTGCTTTAAATTCTTCTGCCCCAGTATCAATACTCTACTTTCATGTTGTCTCTCTGGACTTCTTCCCTTGAGGCCGGACATATGTCTGTCTCATCCTCTTTGCCGTTGCTTTCCTTTGTTCTTTACCATTCCTGTCTTGTCTAATATCATTTTATGATAAAACGGACCCAGCCTTTCGATTCGTTCGCCTTGTTTCATAACCCATTCTCGAGCTCGGGATAATACATGTGATTGCTACTAGAGCTAACTCCATGTCGTATGCAGTTCGGGACGTTGTCTCCCTTCTTCGGTAATTGGTTGATTGAAGACATTCGGTCCTGTCTTTGCGCATTAAATGGTCTTGTTGACACAGGCACCGGACATCATCTCAACTGAGCGTAAATCTACCGAGACTGATGCTTCGTGTTTCCTACAATTATGAAGCCTGATAAAAGTCACAAAATGACAGCCTATTTGATTGTAAACAAATATATCTAACAAGTACAAGTACTCCACCCAGTAATGTATGTAACTGAACACCTGAAAATCCAAAACCAAACGTTATACTCAAAAAGCAGAACAAGATCTAACATTGAATCTCACTCTCCTTCCAGCCTTCACCCTCCTCGCCCGCCGGACCCGCCGACTCAGCCGAGATGCCCTCACCACCACGTCCATTCCATTGCTTAGACGCAGCAGAATCACCACCGCGCTTCGTCCCACCGCCAACAATCCGTCCACCCTGTTCGCGCTTCACACGACACCACGGACCGACATCCTTATCCAGGATGAAAGTGTAAATAACCCAAACCCAGCTCCGGTGGCAAGGTAGCGGTTCATAGAACTCCCTCGCAATCTCATGCAGCTTATGCAATCGAGTCCAAGGGATAGCAGGGAAATCGTGGTGCTCGTTATGCAAGCCGACATTGTAAGTGAGGATATTGAGCGGGCCGTAGTACGAGTATGTCTCCGGGGGAGGCAGAGAGTCGAGCGGGTGCGGGACCTTCGGCTTCTCGTTCTTTTTCAGCTCGGTCAGGGACTCTGTACCGCCGCCCTTCACGTTCGAGAAGAAATAGTGCTCCGCGATGAAGTGGCCTGCGCAGGGGTGCAGGGATCCGGCGAGGAATGAGCTCAACACGAAGTATAGCACTGGCTGGATGGAGCCGCATAGTTTGCTTAGGGCGTAGTCGAAGCTTATTTGGATGCCTAGGTTCAGGAGGTGGATGTAGGTGAAGGGTGGGCTGTAGATGAACATTGGGCGCACGGCGTAGAAGAGGATCTGGAAGGTGCAGAAGAATGTTTTGCCCAGGAGGGAGTTTAGGAAGAAGGCTTCCACTGCTGTGGGGAGGTCGGTATCGAGACCTGTTACGCCGAGGGATTTGTGGTGTGTCAGGTGGTAGGGCTGTTAGTGGTGCTGTGTCAGTTCATTGTCTGCGTTGGGGCCCAGCTAGTTTCCGGCATGTGGAAGAGTATACGTACTCTGAATGCTGCGCTGTACGGCAGTCCGATGGGGAGGTTTGCGAAGATAGCGAGCAAGCGGTTGGCGAAAGCCGACCGGAATGCCAGGTTGTGTGAGATCTCATGGATGGCGAGGAACAGGTTCTGGTTGCAAGTTGCACCGATCACGTATGCCGTGACCAGGAACCGCCAATCGAGCATTGAGGTGCTGCGGAGGAGATAGGCACAGGTGAGTTGTAGGGACACGACGCCGAGGACGACCCATTTGGTAAGAGGCTCGGGACCACATAGTTTGGTGACCTATAGGTACATGATATCATGAATCAGCATTGCAATTGCACTTGTTGAGACTGTTCCTCGCCCAGGAAAGGTGGCCAGGTGTATGTAGGAGCTCCGCAGACCTCCGCATGGAGTCTTCACCCAGCTCTCATATCACCCCGAGGGCCCTCAAAACAGGATCACATACCTCCGGATGGGCTTTAATAATTGCCTGTCTTCTTGAGCGGTGCGGTTCTTCCGTGTATGTCCAGAAGAAATGGTCCTCGACCAAAGCTTCGGGTGCCTGTATTCTGGTAGACTCTGGTTGTGTTTTGTCGGATGCCTTGGCTGCCTTGGTTGCCGACACGCGGAGTTGCGGCGAAGTTGTTTCAACGACCGCAGACATGATGGAAATTGGTGTGTGTCGAAGTTTAGGCCATGGGAGATATAAGAGGTCTCAAAAAAGTCGGAAGACAGTTGTTCCACGTGGGGCGACGCGATACTTGATGGCTTGAGGCTTGGCAGGATCGGCACTTGTCAGGGCTTTTGGTCTCCAATCTATTCAAGACATTACTAATGAGATGGATCTTTGAAGAACGCTTTTTATTTACTTATGTCTATGAAATACATCAGTAGTCGTCACCACGGCTAATAACTTCCTTCACGTTCGGGCGCAATACAATCGTCTAAACAAGTCAGTAAACAGTCCGAGTGGAGAAATTCCCAAAATAGAAACATACATGTTCATATTGGGCAGTGTATGAGCCCTTGATATCGCAAAGAGGAGGGTAATCCTGCACAATTCCAGAAGAAACCAGGTTGTTCAACTATATTCGTTAGCTTCGGTGTCTCGCATTGAACTTCATCGTCAACTTACGCCCAAAAGGTACTTGTCCTGACCCAGGCGGTCGATGTACCGGCGACAGAAGGGAAGGGTGCCAAAGTTCTTGTTGATCAAATTTAACAAGTTCTTAGCGGAGGTAAGACGCAAGGGAACGTTAGGAGCGTCGGAGGCGAGAGCGTAGTGCGAGGTTTCCATCTGAGGCCATGTTAGCCTTGGTTCTCGACCTAGGACCTACAGTATAAACTTACTTCCTCTCGCACGTAACCTTTACCGGTACTACCGAAAGTCTCAATGGCGAAAACTTCACCCTCTTCCATCTTGGTCTGATCGGTGCTCTTGACGATTGGTACACTCTTGCCACCGTGGATGACGTGCTGGTCAATGTTGTGACCGTTTAAGTTGCGGATACACTTGACAGGGTGCATGGTGCCATTGAGCTCAACTTCGTAACTTTCCATAGCTTCTTGGATGGCGGCACCGATATCACTCATACGGACGTCAATTCCCGCTTCCTAGAAACCCGTCAGCTCTGCCTGAGACGAAGAAGAGAAGGAAAACTTACCCGAATACCGGTGTTGGTGGCGTCCTTCACGGCAGCGAGAAGAGGATCGTACACTGGGTCAAAAGTCATAGTGAAAGCACTGTCCACAATGCGGCCGTTAAGCTGCGCACCGAAGTCGACCTTCATCACGTCTCCCTGGTTCAGGACCATCTTGTTGCCCGCATTCGGGGTATAATGCGCAGCGCAATGGTTGATGCTCAAACCACAAGGGAAGCCCATACCACCCTTGATGTTATCACCTTCCTCCAGACCTGGGTGACCTGTCAGGGCGCGCACCGAATCCTCGATGCCCTCCGCGATCTCAGTCAAAGTCTGACCGGGCTTGATGTTCTTCTGCGCATACTGGCGGACTTGACGGTGAACCTCGGCACCCTGGCGGTACTCCTGCAGGAAGTCATTATTCATGCGATCGAGGTATCGTTTTTCTTCGTTGGTAGTACGGTAGGCATTGTCGTTTAGGTATTCGACGATCTCGCCCTCGGGGTATTGGCCGTTGGGGAAGAGGTTAGACACAGGAACACGCGGTGGCTCGCTCTGGACCTTGGCACCACCCTTCTTCTTGGGCTTCCTCTTGGGCTTCTTCTTCTTCTTCTTTTTGTCGGCTAGAGGTGACCCCGCCGTTAGTCCCGGTCGACTTCTGTGGGGTGGGGTGGGGTTCTGGAAGCGCGGTCACGGAAATAAACTTCAACAAAACTCACCCCCAGCAGCTTCAGTCTCTGCGGCACCCTCGCCGTCTTGGGCGTCGTCCGAGTCCTCCTCCGCTTCGGCGGGAACCTGATCTGCCGTGCGGGCGGCCTGGACGTTCACTGGTCTCTGATCAGTCACACATGAGAGAAGTAAACAGAAAATTCGAGGATCTTACGGTCTAACTGATCCAACTTCTCCGTAGTCTGAGCTGCCATCTTGAATGTGGCAATTGAACAAGTCGTATGTTCAAAGGCAAGAGGGGAATGTCGGGTGTCGGGGAAAGAGTTTTGCTGATAAGATAAGAAGAGGCTTGGAGATTTCCTTGGCGGCGGATGGATGTTGCTGCCTGACATGCCTGTTGTGTTGTACACTTCAACACGTCTACCATCATGATTCATACATCTCCATCTCCCGTTCATATTGCCACTATTAAACTATGTCGCTACTTAAACTTCCCGCTGAACTTCTACTAAAGGTATCTTCACATCTAGAATATGTTTCCGATCTCGACTCCCTCTATCAATGTCATCCTTTCCTGTATACTTTGTTAAAAGACAGAGTCGACGAACTTCTGAAGACGGAGCAGTCTATCCAGCATCTCGCATGGGCTGCAGTGAATGGGAAGGAAACATGTGTTCGCAAGCTGCTAGATGTAGGTGCGTTATTCGATGATTCGTTCGCTAGTGATGCTGCGCCTGGGGATGCTGCGCCTGGGGATGCTGCGCCTGGGGATGATGAGTCTAGATATGATGCCGTAGGTATGATGCACCTAGGAATCATAAGTCCGCCTGTCGCAAGCAGAGGGATGATCCTATGACGATAGCTGCAAAGTATGGTCATTTTGATGTTGTCCAGATGTTCCTCGATCGTAGAAGAGACCCGACTCCAGAGATCAACGAGTACATCTACGTCGACCTTGATCACCTTGTTGTCTTCGGAAACCCATTGTCCGTCGCAGTGCTAGGGGGTCATACCTCAGTTGTCAGTCTCTTGATTGAACGTGGATTTATCAAACGCTGTGCAGAACCCCGGCGAAAAGCGGTTGTGCGACCTATCATTATGCTTGGCTGTTATGAAGAGGCATGTTCCCATCATCAAACTTCTGCTTGCAGGAGGTTGTGATCCTAATGTTGAGTGCTCTAACAAGGCCCTTTGCATCATATTGCCCTAGCTCCTGCTACAAGCGCAACTGTAGAAATCGTCCGTCTTCTAATTGATGCTGGGGCTGAATTCTGGACAAGCATGAATGGCGACGATCCAGTCTTTTCTGCCATGGAAACCGGCAATGGGCTGTTTCTCAATTACACCTTCCCACTAATTGAGACTGACACCGAAATATTTCTGATGATGCTTCATATGTTCACCGGAAAATACAAGACATTTACCTCGTCCCTCCTGAAGAGGATTGATTTAGACTACACAATCACCTTTGGCGCGAGAGAACGATGTAGTCTTCTGTGTGTCGCTGTAGGTGGCGGCTTCCCGGATCTGTTGGAGAGAATACTATTATTGAGGCCTTATTATTCAAAGGAATGGTCTTGTCCCAAAGGCCATGGAAGTCTTATGGCTCTCGCTATTGCATCTGGCCATATCGGAACGATAGAGTTATTTCTCGAATATCGCGCCAAGCTTAGGACGGCCGTGACTTATCCCACACTCATAGTGGAAGACAATGACGGACGCTGGAACTTCGATGATTGCCCTCCTTCAATGATTCTTGCGCTTAACCGAGGCCATGATGATGTCGTGAAGTACCTCATCAATAAGGGCTTTGATGTCGTATTTCCGTCGTCACGTCATGGGAATGGTTTTTTCAACAGAGCACTTTATCTGGGCAAAGCGGAAATCCTCCAGATGCTTCTTGGGAGTTCTAGTCCATCAATCGAAGATATTGCGTTGTTTGGTGATGGCCTGTCGATTCAGCTCGCAGTCTTGGGGGGAGAAGCCTTCTTCAAATTACTCCTTGAGCATGGAGTACAACTGCGACCGGGTCACGTTGGACATTGCCGCGCATTCGCATGTGCTGCTTTGTTAGCTAACGTGCCTACCTTGACGATGTTTTTGGATGCTGGTTTCAGTCTGGATAAGCAGGCTTCAGACAATGACGATGACACAGTCGGCCTGTTATTGGAACTCGATGAAAATAGAGGTGTCACGCTCCTCGCTCTCGCGGCTCAGACGAAAGATCGCAATGCCGCGGAAGCTGCGGTTGATTTTTTGCTAGAACGGGGAGTGCAGCTCAACCAGTTAACTGGCTCTTGCAATCACACGCCTTTACTCCGCCTAGCCTTGGGGGTAGCTGGAAATAACGTTAGCACTGTCAACTCTTTCGTCGAGAAAATAACCAAGACCAAGGTGGACGAATACGAGGTTAAGCGACTACAATACTTTGAGGAAACTAGCGACTACGGATTACTGGCAAGACAGCTTCTATTGGAGAAGGGGGCCGATCCTCTATTTTTGAACAGAAGTGGAAAGTCTGCCTTGACCGTGACCGCATGGAGAAATGATATCAGAGAGGTCAAGATGTTGCTGGGATATGTCGATCCAAACGTTCCGATCAGTACGATCAATTCTCATATATTGACAGCGATGGCCCTGTTTGATGATTCTCGCGACACTATTCAAGACGAGAAAAGACCCTCTTTGGCCATGCAAAAGACTCCCTGGAATATTTATTGGCGCAAGGTTTACCCTTGTCCTAGCGAATAGTTGAATCGAGTACAGGTATGCAGCATGTAGCTTGGCGGAGATTTCGTTGTAAATGGCAGAGAAGAGTTATCTGATGGTATCAAATAAATACGCTGAATGGCTCAGGGCCTAGGACATTCCAAATTAGCTAATGAGTCAAACCAAGGAAGTAAATCTGTGTTCTGATACTATATACAATTTTTTCATCTCACATGTGACATGGATAACTATAGTTCTTGACTAACAGGTCTCCTTTGCACCCGAGCCATACGAAGCTTCAATAATTGACGGTATTCGGATGACCCAAAACACATATCCGGGTCAAATGTGGCTCCTTTGTCAAAAAGCAGCCTCGCCATTGTATCCTTTCCTTTTTCGAGGGCTAATTGTACCGGTCGAGAGTTGCCTTCACCACTAGGGTCAGCACCATGGTCTAGTAAGAGCTTAACAGCCCTAGGGCGGCCATAGCAGACAGCCAAACTCAAAGGACAGAAATGGACTGCCCTTCGGTTTGGTTGATGGTCTTTATCAAGGACGGACGACTCTTTCAATACCTTCTCTAAAAGATCGTCAAGGCGGTTCACAATCGCCCCCTTTAAGAGATAGCAACGTTGAAGATTACCGTACTTCAATATGCGATCCACATCAATCCAGCTTAGCAGCAATGACCCCATCTCGTGGTTGTCCCTTGGTCGAGAGAATTCCCACAAGACTTCCAACCATCCCAATTGCCGCCAATGAAGGTTGTTCGCTAGGAGGAGCTTCATGACGGGGAGGTTGTCTGATCCCGCGGCTTCGAGTAACAGTTTGTCATATATATACAAATCTGCACCAGCCCCTACTAAGAGTTGGGCAATCTCCAGATTTGCGGGTGAAGGTCTTGTAGCAGCAGCTACCGCTAGAGGCGTCATACCACGCAGGTCATAGGTATCGAGGCTGCAATAATTATATTCGAGGAAGAGTCTGACAATTGATACATGTCCCAGTTCGACGGCCTTGCATAAAGGAATTGCAGCATGTCTATCGTGGCTGTTGGTTTTGCAATCGGCCTTGTGTTCGAGGAGCAGTTTGACTACTGCAGCATGCTCGCTTGTGACTGCAGCCTTGAGTGTCCTGTTGAATAGATCTCCTTCTTTCTCGGTGTCATGTTGAATGCAGTAGGGTAGGAACAATTCAACAATATTGGTGTGTCCCTTCCACGCTGCAATCCTTATTGGTTCTTGTCCTTCGAAGATGGGAAGGTCGTCCAATATCTTCGAGCCGCACATCTGCAACAGTTTCCGCGCACTAGCTTCCTTGCCTTTTTCGGCTGCCCAGGCTATCGACTTCCCAGGTGAGTCTTTGGCGATGGCTTTGTAAAGATTCCTGTTTGACAGAGCATGGAAGTGGCGGCTGACCCGTGTGAATGCATTGAGGTCACGGTAGTCAAGGTGGAGGGATATCTCCAGCAGCATCTCATTAGGGAGCTCTGAAAGAGTCGTCATGTTTCGATATAGTTTGATTGTATTGGGAGAAGATGTGTGTTTCAAAGAAAAAAAGGACCAAATCTGTCTGTCTCTTTTGACTATAATACCAGGTGGTTTCTCAGACTGAATCTATGTGATGGGACATCGGGGGATTTATACAGGTTCTCCAGGGACCTGCTTTGAATCGTGTTTTACGTTGAATAAAGCCAGTGTTTCAAGTCAACGCCTTGTTCTTCGTGTGTGGTAGCTCTTTGATCCGGAAATCCAATATAGTCTCAAAGGGTATAACAATATCGCTATACATTGTGAAAGGGGGGTTGGCGCTTCATTGTCTATTTATGGATACTAGCGAGTACAAGGGTATATGCAGACACAAAGCCCCTAGCTATTCCATATCCTTGTCAAAGAAAAGCTTCAACTTCATTTTCAGTTGTCTTCATTTGGAAACGATATCAAGAGTCGGTTGAAAGGCGAGATTATTTTAAGCGCTCAATTAAAATTCTTCCGTAATCGGATTTTCAAGCCCGGGAGAGTGGGTGATTGCCCATAATCATGCTCAAATAGAAGCCTTAATGCAGGAACTGTTTCGTGGCTGAGACGCTTGACATGTTCTGGGTCTTTCATCCAGTGCCGTAAGCGCCGTTGGAATTTTAGTGCGAATATGAAACATAAGGAGAAGCAATACGCGATGCGCCGATTATCATTGAAGGGGCCCAGGCACGGGCACGATAGGATTGGTCCATATATTTATTACGACTTCCTAAGCGCTTGATGTATAGTTCCCATATTGTCGGGACCATAGCACCAATAAGCCCTAGTCTCATTTATATCAGTCCCACTTTCATACTGCTTATACACCCTATTCCTAAGGCAGCGACTATCCTAAGAGGAGCCCTACTTCATCAGCTGCAATGAGATACCACCGAAGCGAAGCTCACAGAGAGCATCTGCAACCCCTATAACGAAAGAAACTACAATCTCACAATATGTGCTCCGTAGATCCTTAGGTATCCATCCCAAACCGGCCAAGGAGTGTTCTCATTGGATCAAACCGTTTTGATGCCCGAAATGGCATAACCTATCTCTTATCTAATCTGATCATCAGGAGCTAACTATGGGGATTGCAACTGCCCACGTGAGTGTAGGTTATATTGACTGTGTTGTTCCCAGAGATGAAAGAGACCAAATAGAATACATATGTAGAATTCCCCAGTAGCCAGTAATAAATATGTGGTAATTTTGTACAGTCGATCAACTTCAAACCGCTGTGACGCCACTGAGATCTTCACCTCCAGTCTTCTTCCGCTTCTCCCTCTCTCCCTCTTCCACCCCTCCCCCAACCTACCGCGGCTCTTATTTCTCTATTGATTTCGATGTAACACCCCCTTAATACACGACAATGCCTCCATCTCGAGTAACATCAATTCTTCTCTTTCCGCGCGCGACCCTCTCTCCCTCCCCTTCAACATACCGGAGCATCTCAACCCAACCCCTCCGACCGCAATTACACCCACGCCAACAACAACAACAATTCATAAAACCAACCATATCCTCATTCTCAACCAGCAATCCAACCCGGGCGCGCGAACAAAACTTCTACGAAATCCTCGACATTCCCACAACCGCATCATCAGCGGAGATCAAGAAGTACACCACCCACACCCACACCAGCCCTCCTCCACCCCTCAATCTCCAACCCCATATATCTCTTTAAATACTTACCTACCCAACCGCCAGACAATTCTACGCCCTCTCAATGCGCCACCACCCAGACCGCAACCGCACAGACCCAGACGCAAGCCAACGCTTCGCCCGCATATCCGCCGCCTACAACGTCCTCGGCAACGACTCAAAGCGCGCAGTCTACGACCGCGACCACGGCTTCCACAGCGCGCACCACGCCTCCCCAGGCCAAAGCCACAGCCACCAACACCCTATGGGCAGCCACAGCAGCTACGCCGGCTCACGGCCCGCCAGCGGGCTGAGCAAACGGCGCTCGGCGTTCCACGGTCCGCCGCCTAGTTTCTACGAGCAGGGTGGGTATGGTGCTACGGGGAGGCAGGCGCAGGGTCGGGCGTCTTCTGGTGGTGCTTCGGAATTCGGGGCTGGCGCTGGCGCTGGTGCTGGGACGAAACAGGCTGATCCGGAGGATTGGGAGGGGTTTATTCACCGGAATCCGTTGCATCATTTCAATGCTCAGAGTCATTTCCGGACACAGGCGGCGGAGGATAGGAGAAGGAGCAATAGGAGGCAGGGAGCTAGGAGGATTGATGAGGATGAGGTTGATCCTAGGGTTGATCAGACGGTTTCGAGGTTCTTTCTTTGTTCCGGGTGTCTAATTGTTATGCTCGTTGTAGTGGACTTTTGGCGCTCTGTTCCTAGTGCTGTTGATGGGAGGAAGACGAGGAAGCAGAAGGGGGCTTTGTCTTCTTGACGGAGTTGTTTTTTCACTCATACTTGGATACATGTAGTTTCTTGGTATATATAGTCAAGTGCATTGCTGGTTGATGTACTCCTACTTTGGCATATCTACGGGCACACCTCGTAGTGCTTTATCCTATACAAATCAATCGAATTGATCAAAGAAACAGTTGATTTGATATACAAAAAAAGTGATCGAGCAGAAAATCTACGACACACATCGTTACTATCTTGGACGAACTCCACCATAATCATCGTTCTGGTGAATCAGCAAGACAAGTGAACTAATAACTGAAGTTTACAATAATCTTCCCAAAAGATGGTAGGCCATCTGTCAGGTTTCTCGGAGGCTTAGGCTCTAGAAGCTTAAGACTCGAAGGTGAAGCTGGCGCCGACCTTGTGGGCAGCCTGGTTCAGGTTCTGGGTATCGAAGGAAGCACCGAGGCCGAGGGTGACACCAGGGCGGAGCAGGACGTTGTAAGCCAGAGCGGCAATACCACGGTCGTTGATCTTGGCCTAAATTGCGAGAAAATTGCGCGATTAGTCGTGATCTACATAGTTATATAAGCAGTTTAACCGCGTGAAACGAACCTTAGCGAAGGAAGAGGGGTCCAGGCGGTACTTGCTGGCGACCTCGAGGCCGACGGCGTTGCCGGATGTGGAGTCCCAAGAAGCCTTGGCACCGGCCTCAACCTGAGCGTTGACGCGGTGGTAGTAGCTGGCGGAGAAAAGGGACAGGTTGTTGCTGGCAGTGATGGCAGCGGAGTACTGGGCAACACTGTAGCCGACGGCAGCGGAGTACTTGGTGATGGCGGCCTTGTTGACGTCGTAACCACCCTCAGCACCGACGAGGAAGCCCTCGTGGCCGAGAACGGCGTCGAAGTTGGCGGAGGGGCCGTTCAGCAGATCGAAGAAGGCACGGGCGTTCAGGTTGGGCTGCTTGAAGTACAGGTTGAGCTTAGCACCCTTGGACTGCTTAGCGGGCTGGTACTGGGTAAGGATCTCAGCCTTGAGGCCCTTGGCGATGTTGTTGTCGAGCTCGAGCTTGGTGTCGAGAGCGTTGGCGGTGGTCCAAGCCTGGGTGAGGGTGAGGCCTGGTCGGAGTGAGCATATTAGCCTAATCCTGTGTATCTT